GTCTTGTCGGCTGGGCTGGGACGCTTGTGTCTTGTCGGCTGGGCTGGGACGCTTGTGTCTTGTCGGCTGGGCTGGGACGCTTGTGTCTTGTCGGCTGGGCTGGGACGCTTGTGTCTTGTCGGCTGGGCTGGGACGCTTGTGTCTTGTCGGCTGGGCTGGGACGCTTGTGTCTTGTCGGCTGGGCTGGGACGCTTGTGTCTTGTCGGCTGGGCTGGGACGCTTGTGTCTTGTCGGCTGGGCTGGGACGCTTGTGTCTTGTCGGCTGGGCTGGGACGCTTGTGTCTTGTCGGCTGGGCTGGGACGCTTGTGTCTTGTCGGCTGGGCTGGGACGCTTGTGTCTTGTCGGCTGGGCTGGGACGCTTGTGTCTTGTCGGCTGGGCTGGGACGCTTGTGTCTTGTCGGCTGGGCTGGGACGCTTGTGTCTTGTCGGCTGGGCTGGGACGCTTGTGTCTTGTCGGCTGGGCTGGGACGCTTGTGTCTTGTCGGCTGGGCTGGGACGCTTGTGTCTTGTCGGCTGGGCTGGGACGCTTGTGTCTTGTCGGCTGGGCTGGGACGCTTGTGTCTTGTCGGCTGGGCTGGGACGCTTGTGTCTTGTCGGCTGGGCTGGGACGCTTGTGTCTTGTCGGCTGGGCTGGGACGCTTGTGTCTTGTCGGCTGGGCTGGGACGCTTGTGTCTTGTCGGCTGGGCTGGGACGCTTGTGTCTTGTCGGCTGGGCTGGGACGCTTGTGTCTTGTCGGCTGGGCTGGGACGCTTGTGTCTTGTCGGCTGGGCTGGGACGCTTGTGTCTTGTCGGCTGGGCTGGGACGCTTGTGTCTTGTCGGCTGGGCTGGGACGCTTGTGTCTTGTCGGCTGGGCTGGGACGCTTGTGTCTTGTCGGCTGGGCTGGGACGCTTGTGTCTTGTCGGCTGGGCTGGGACGCTTGTGTCTTGTCGGCTGGGCTGGGACGCTTGTGTCTTGTCGGCTGGGCTGGGACGCTTGTGTCTTGTCGGCTGGGCTGGGACGCTTGTGTCTTGTCGGCTGGGCTGGGACGCTTGTGTCTTGTCGGCTGGGCTGGGACGCTTGTGTCTTGTCGGCTGGGCTGGGACGCTTGTGTCTTGTCGGCTGGGCTGGGACGCTTGTGTCTTGTCGGCTGGGCTGGGACGCTTGTGTCTTGTCGGCTGGGCTGGGACGCTTGTGTCTTGTCGGCTGGGCTGGGACGCTTGTGTCTTGTCGGCTGGGCTGGGACGCTTGTGTCTTGTCGGCTGGGCTGGGACGCTTGTGTCTTGTCGGCTGGGCTGGGACGCTTGTGTCTTGTCGGCTGGGCTGGGACGCTTGTGTCTTGTCGGCTGGGCTGGGACGCTTGTGTCTTGTCGGCTGGGCTGGGACGCTTGTGTCTTGTCGGCTGGGCTGGGACGCTTGTGTCTTGTCGGCTGGGCTGGGACGCTTGTGTCTTGTCGGCTGGGCTGGGACGCTTGTGTCTTGTCGGCTGGGCTGGGACGCTTGTGTCTTGTCGGCTGGGCTGGGACGCTTGTGTCTTGTCGGCTGGGCTGGGACGCTTGTGTCTTGTCGGCTGGGCTGGGACGCTTGTGTCTTGTCGGCTGGGCTGGGACGCTTGTGTCTTGTCGGCTGGGCTGGGACGCTTGTGTCTTGTCGGCTGGGCTGGGACGCTTGTGTCTTGTCGGCTGGGCTGGGACGCTTGTGTCTTGTCGGCTGGGCTGGGACGCTTGTGTCTTGTCGGCTGGGCTGGGACGCTTGTGTCTTGTCGGCTGGGCTGGGACGCTTGTGTCTTGTCGGCTGGGCTGGGACGCTTGTGTCTTGTCGGCTGGGCTGGGACGCTTGTGTCTTGTCGGCTGGGCTGGGACGCTTGTGTCTTGTCGGCTGGGCTGGGACGCTTGTGTCTTGTCGGCTGGGCTGGGACGCTTGTGTCTTGTCGGCTGGGCTGGGACGCTTGTGTCTTGTCGGCTGGGCTGGGACGCTTGTGTCTTGTCGGCTGGGCTGGGACGCTTGTGTCTTGTCGGCTGGGCTGGGACGCTTGTGTCTTGTCGGCTGGGCTGGGACGCTTGTGTCTTGTCGGCTGGGCTGGGACGCTTGTGTCTTGTCGGCTGGGCTGGGACGCTTGTGTCTTGTCGGCTGGGCTGGGACGCTTGTGTCTTGTCGGCTGGGCTGGGACGCTTGTGTCTTGTCGGCTGGGCTGGGACGCTTGTGTCTTGTCGGCTGGGCTGGGACGCTTGTGTCTTGTCGGCTGGGCTGGGACGCTTGTGTCTTGTCGGCTGGGCTGGGACGCTTGTGTCTTGTCGGCTGGGCTGGGACGCTTGTGTCTTGTCGGCTGGGCTGGGACGCTTGTGTCTTGTCGGCTGGGCTGGGACGCTTGTGTCTTGTCGGCTGGGCTGGGACGCTTGTGTCTTGTCGGCTGGGCTGGGACGCTTGTGTCTTGTCGGCTGGGCTGGGACGCTTGTGTCTTGTCGGCTGGGCTGGGACGCTTGTGTCTTGTCGGCTGGGCTGGGACGCTTGTGTCTTGTCGGCTGGGCTGGGACGCTTGTGTCTTGTCGGCTGGGCTGGGACGCTTGTGTCTTGTCGGCTGGGCTGGGACGCTTGTGTCTTGTCGGCTGGGCTGGGACGCTTGTGTCTTGTCGGCTGGGCTGGGACGCTTGTGTCTTGTCGGCTGGGCTGGGACGCTTGTGTCTTGTCGGCTGGGCTGGGACGCTTGTGTCTTGTCGGCTGGGCTGGGACGCTTGTGTCTTGTCGGCTGGGCTGGGACGCTTGTGTCTTGTCGGCTGGGCTGGGACGCTTGTGTCTTGTCGGCTGGGCTGGGACGCTTGTGTCTTGTCGGCTGGGCTGGGACGCTTGTGTCTTGTCGGCTGGGCTGGGACGCTTGTGTCTTGTCGGCTGGGCTGGGACGCTTGTGTCTTGTCGGCTGGGCTGGGACGCTTGTGTCTTGTCGGCTGGGCTGGGACGCTTGTGTCTTGTCGGCTGGGCTGGGACGCTTGTGTCTTGTCGGCTGGGCTGGGACGCTTGTGTCTTGTCGGCTGGGCTGGGACGCTTGTGTCTTGTCGGCTGGGCTGGGACGCTTGTGTCTTGTCGGCTGGGCTGGGACGCTTGTGTCTTGTCGGCTGGGCTGGGACGCTTGTGTCTTGTCGGCTGGGCTGGGACGCTTGTGTCTTGTCGGCTGGGCTGGGACGCTTGTGTCTTGTCGGCTGGGCTGGGACGCTTGTGTCTTGTCGGCTGGGCTGGGACGCTTGTGTCTTGTCGGCTGGGCTGGGACGCTTGTGTCTTGTCGGCTGGGCTGGGACGCTTGTGTCTTGTCGGCTGGGCTGGGACGCTTGTGTCTTGTCGGCTGGGCTGGGACGCTTGTGTCTTGTCGGCTGGGCTGGGACGCTTGTGTCTTGTCGGCTGGGCTGGGACGCTTGTGTCTTGTCGGCTGGGCTGGGACGCTTGTGTCTTGTCGGCTGGGCTGGGACGCTTGTGTCTTGTCGGCTGGGCTGGGACGCTTGTGTCTTGTCGGCTGGGCTGGGACGCTTGTGTCTTGTCGGCTGGGCTGGGACGCTTGTGTCTTGTCGGCTGGGCTGGGACGCTTGTGTCTTGTCGGCTGGGCTGGGACGCTTGTGTCTTGTCGGCTGGGCTGGGACGCTTGTGTCTTGTCGGCTGGGCTGGGACGCTTGTGTCTTGTCGGCTGGGCTGGGACGCTTGTGTCTTGTCGGCTGGGCTGGGACGCTTGTGTCTTGTCGGCTGGGCTGGGACGCTTGTGTCTTGTCGGCTGGGCTGGGACGCTTGTGTCTTGTCGGCTGGGCTGGGACGCTTGTGTCTTGTCGGCTGGGCTGGGACGCTTGTGTCTTGTCGGCTGGGCTGGGACGCTTGTGTCTTGTCGGCTGGGCTGGGACGCTTGTGTCTTGTCGGCTGGGCTGGGACGCTTGTGTCTTGTCGGCTGGGCTGGGACGCTTGTGTCTTGTCGGCTGGGCTGGGACGCTTGTGTCTTGTCGGCTGGGCTGGGACGCTTGTGTCTTGTCGGCTGGGCTGGGACGCTTGTGTCTTGTCGGCTGCTGGGACGAATCCTCTCTTTTAAAGCACATCAACAGGGGGGATTCCGTGGAAACCCCTCAATTTTGCAAATGTACTCCTGGAAACCATAACTTATGCATGTACACGTACAGTAACATCAAGAGTTATGAACTCTTGGTAACATCAAGAGTCCATAAACATTGTTTATGCACTCTTGGTAACATGTATCAGCAACTCACTATGGCCAGTCTGGGCTCAGTAAGCTGGATCCCCCCTCCCCCCCTACACAGTACAGAGATCTCTGCATCCGCCCCGGATACATGATGTAGTTTGTTCAGGGAGTTGTATACTACAGTAAAACCTGTCAAGGCGACCACCTGTCCAAGAAGACCACTGAAACCAGGACAAAGGGATGCTATTTCCAGTCAAATGACCCTGGATAAGGAGACCACCTGGTAACAGAGATCACATTTTGAAGGCCCCTTGAGCGGTCGTCTTTTAATTATAGACAGGTTTCACTGTACTACAATACACTTTTTTGTAGTATTTTACGACTACCTGTATATGACTACCTGTATATGACTACCTGTATAATATGTTTGCGTGCCACTCGTAAATCGTAATAGTCTGCTCCTGCACTTAATATCAGCATTCTGAGTGAAATGGGTCCAACCAAGAGTATTATGAGCTCGTCTACTCTTGGTCCAACTGGCTACTGTTTACATTGGTTAATGGTCACAGCGTACTAGAAATCAGTGCTGTGTCATAATGCGCTGAGCTGTGATGCAAACGCAGGGGTCACCACCTGCAATACCAGTTACATGCAGCAGCACCTAGCTGGGCAATGGCCGCAGCACTGATTGCATTGAGAGGCCCCGGCAAGCGCAACTACACTTGCCAGCTCTGATTATGCATTCTCTACGCACACCAACACTACCACCACGATCACCATTACTATACACACTCACACAACCACACGCATGCACACACAGACACACACACACACAACCGCACCGAGAAGATGTATAGGTTGGAATTCCAGTGATCAAAGTCAATATGACTACACTACAGTTAGCCAGGACAAGATGGTCCCAGCACAGCACTATGCGGACAAAGATCAACAGTTATAGCTCTCAAAGGTGGGCGGATGATGGTGTTCAGTAGTACACAGTGTCTGTATGTATACACATTGTCTATACGTTTACATACTGTCTGTATGTACAATAGAGCAGCTATACAGCAAGCTATACAGCAAGCTATACAGCAAGCTATACAGCAAGCTATACAGCAAGCTATACAGCAAGCTATACAGCAAGCTATACAGCAAGCTATACAGCAAGCTATACAGCAAGCTATACAGCAAGCTATACAGCAAGCTATACAGCAAGCTATACAGCAAGCTATACAGCAAGCTATACAGCAACAATCTTACCTAGAACTAGTCTACTTGCAGGGAGGAGTTTGATGAGACACCACACACACACACACACACACACACACACAAACACCCACACACTCACACGCATGAACATACACACACGCGCGCACGCACACACATACACACACACATACACACGTACACACACACACACACCTACACAGGTATCTGTTGGACAGGCCAATAGGAGCAGTCACATCCGTTTCCTCTTAACACTTGCCAACGGGGAGACGTACCCGTACATTGCCTTCCTCTTCAAAGTACAATATCACGTAGACCCAAGAGTTGAAGCAACAGCCATCATCAAACACCATGTAGATCCGAGAGTTGAAGCAACAGCCATCATCAAACACCATGTAGCTAGAGTAGTAGCAACAAAGACCTGGCACTGTCATTGCAATCCTTCCAAAGACCTGATCGTAACAATCCCATGTCTTCCGTCTTCAGGCTCTGCGCTGCATTAATTGTACGGCAGGCTAGCATCAGCGGTGCTGTCTGGGATGACCTGGTCGAGTTCATCACCCATGCCTGGCTGCACACTGGCTGAGCTAACCTCCTTCACTGCCATCTCAAAGCACTGTTTCAAGTCGTGATACGACACAATGATAACTGACTGCTCGTCGCGCGACTCCAAGCAGATCTTGGCTGGCGACCCGGAATCCAGCTGTGCACAACAAACCAAAGACAGACGATTTAAAAGACAACAGTCATGCGTACTACATGCGTACTACATGCGTACTACATGCGTACTACATGCGTACTACATGTGTACTACATGCGTACTACATGTGTACTACATGCGTACTACATGCGTACTACATGTGTACTACATGCGTACTACATGTGTGTGACACGACCATGTACTGTAAGTCAACACATATTCGGCGCATATTTATTTTCGGCTATTTTCCGCCTGATCACATTTGGCCGAAAATTTGTTGCGGCCGAAATTTTGTTTTGCAAAGTTCAGTGTGACAATGTATACAGTCAGCAGCAGTACAGGCTATACATTGTTATTAATGTGAAATGTGCTTGTGTCCGCTCGAAGGTACCGATTGACCGCAAAACGTGCAATATGTGTACAAGGTTCGTGTCATATGACCTACAGACAGCAGACCACCTCCACAATACGACCACGAAAGAACGAGATGGTGGAGCGCTCTCGCGGTACTTTAGGTACATGCCTTTGGGTGAAAATAATATTGTCCAAAATGAAAAGAAAAAAAGCTGAGTTGTTGATTTGTTTGCCATTGCATGTACATTGTAGTACCAGAACCTGACTTCAACGAAAAGTCAAAAAGGCAAAAACAGTTTTTGTCGTGCTGGCCGAAAGTTAGTCTCACCCAAAGGCAGAGATGTCTGCTGTCCTGGCCCACATAGCATAGCATTTCCTTGGCGAGTGCCATACAAATCACGCATGCCAAACGCCTGCCTCAGATAGCAGTGTATTGAAAGCTGTGGTACAGTCGACCTACCCTTATAACGATAACCTCTATAACGATATTACCCTTATAACGATATTTTTCTGCCAAACCAAATCACTCCATTGACTTGTGTATACAATGCCTTACCTCTATAACAATATTGCTATAACGATATTACAGTCGACCTACCCTTATAACGATAACCTCTATAACGATATTACCCTTAGAACGATATTTTTCTGCCAAACCAAATCACTCCATTGACTTGTGTATACAATGCCTTAGGCCACACTTTGTTTTTTCTATGTTTCTCGTCATCGCCCGCGTAGGTTTTCAGAAATTTCGGAAGAAAAAAAAAGTTCATACAGTGTACTACGTTACGTACATGTATGTACACTGCACTTGCTGCAGCAGCTAGATGCGTCAATCAAAATCGTAAACGTTTGCACCACAGCAGCAAAGGAGCGCTCCCCGTCCTATCCGTTCTCTGCGATAAGGCTGCCATGACGAAGCTTTCAGTCGTTCATTGCCTGAGCCTTGTGGGTCCCAGAAATACCGTAAGTCGGAAGCGTTCCGTGGCAACTGGCGCCTGTGGAACGATGTTGTGGGCAGAAAATCCAAGCAATAGACGCATGGCGAGGAAAAGATGAACAGCGTGGAGACAAGAGTTTGATAAGCGGACACAAGAACGTTGAAGTAACAACACCAAAAATGACAAGTGGGAAAGCGTTTGTTGATGCGATAGCAGATAAATGTTTGTTCTCTTCGCCATCTCGTATTCATCAAACGTTATACTCTCATTGTTGCAGTTTGCCTGATATTCGTGGGCTGATGTGATAATGTAGTGCAATCATGTCTGGGACTACATGTACATGATTGTACAATGTAGTAATCATGGTAATGGTTTATACAGTGTCTTGAATGAATCACGCGTATACATGTAAAATGTATACAGTTTTCAGTAGAAATTGTTCTTGTTTTTTCCTTGGCTTTTGTTTTTTTTCCGCCCGCCCGCATACCTTTTGTTAAAATATGCCGACGAGAAACATAGAAAAAACAAAGTGTGGCCTTACCTCTATAACAATATTGCTATAACGATATTACCCCTATAACAATATAAAATGGGCTGACCAATCGACATTTTCCATTTTATAACAATATCTAGCAGGGAATATGTAGAGCCCACTATCCAGGTAAGGCAAGCTTCACTTGATATGTCGCTGGGACACGACGAAATGCAACAGGGGCACCAGTGGGCACCTTGCCGTGTACATAATGTGCATGTAAAATGATGTATCAGTTTTTATGCTATGAAGAGTGTAAAAAATGAACAAAATCCATGCATTATGACGTATGTGTATGAAATGAACCAGTTACCCCTATAACAATATTACCCTTATAACAATATTTCTTGGTCTGACGCGAATATCGTTATAAGGGTATGTCGACTGTACCCCTATAACAATATAAAATGGGCTGACCAATCGACATTTTCCATTTTATAACAATATCTAGCAGGGAATATGTAGAGCCCACTATCCAGGTAAGGCAAGCTTCACTTGATATGTCGCTGGGACACGACGAAATGCAACAGGGGCACCAGTGGGCACCTTGCTGTGTACATAATGTGCATGTAAAATGATGTGTCAGTTTTTATGCTATGAAGAGTGTAAAAAATGAACAAAATCCATGCATTATGACGTATGTGTATGAAATGAACCAGTTACCCCTATAACAATATTACCCTTATAACAATATTTCTTGGTCTGACGCAAATATCGTTATAAGGGTAGGTCGACTGTACCATCAAGTGCTGCATAGCAAACCGGTTTGTTCCCAGTACAAGTCTATACGAGGGTCAGGCTCAAAACTCAAATCCGGTGGGTTGTGCAGGTACGGTTGCGCTGGGAGAAATCCGAGAAAATTGTACTACAGTAGACTCGTACGGCCAAGAACGCGGTTTCAGAGGGCCAGCCTAGCAAAGTTCTTATTTTTCAGCGCCCCAGGCTACGTTCTTATTTCGCGTTCTTACGCGTCCAACATGACCCGTGACGCTCATGTACAATGCACTTTGCGCTACATGTAGATCTACCGGTTGTACACTTTACATGCACGTGTAGTATGTAGCGCTGCACTGGGCCCGGATGATGTTTTCGCGAGGACCAGACAAGAGTTTTTGGTTGCGGACCTGTTTTTCGTGTACCCGGACAAGAAAATGTCACGTTCTTAAAAATCGTGGAGTTCGTTCTTAAATCCAGGCTGGGGCGTTCTTCGATTTCCAGCCTGGACGTTCTTGGGTGCCACGTTCTTGGGCGTATGAGTCCACTGTAAGCCAATGCCCTGGATCAGTTCCGATTACTGGTACATTACTGTATTTGTACATGTGTACGTCCAGCAACAGTCGTCCCACTTCCACGCCAATGCTAGTCCATGGTGGCAAATATTAAATAAGCACTTTGGGTGGGATTTCGCTTGGCACAACTGTACATGTACTTCCATGCATACCATCACAACAAAGCCATGGTTATGTGCCAAACACCCAACAGGACTGGTGTCAAACCAGGCTTTATGCCAGCTATGCCTCTGTGGAAGAGACTGCTGTATGCTGAGTACCATGCCGGCTCTCACCTGATTCAGGCAGTGAACAATGTGAGAGAGATCGAACCAAGGCATGCCATCGCTGTTGACTTGATGGAAGAGATAGTCTCGGAATAGCTTGAGCAGATAGCGATCGCCAGTCTCCGACCACTGCGGATCCATGGCAAACCTAAGAAACAAACGCACGCCAACACAACCACTTACATACTAGCCATGGAGTAATGAGTTAGAACTAGCTTGATATGACACTACAGCTAACCCCAAAAAGGGGGATACAAGGCATGTGGTTGCAAAATTTGGTGTAGGCAGACGTCCATGTGACACACAAAGTTCTTACTCAGGGCGCTCGTTGATCAAGCCAAACTTGCACAGCAAACGGAACAGGCGCCCGTTTTGAAGCTCCTGGACAAGAAAGCACGGGACGCAAAACTATTCAAGAACTACACTGTCCACTACAGGAATACACAAGGACAGAAAGGGAAAACAATGAAGTGATAGACAAGAAAGTACAAACATATGCACCTAAGAATAGACAGGCTAACCCCACCCAAAGGAACATGCATGCATGCACACACGCACACACCCACACATACCTAGACACAGAGGCAGTATTCGTCAGCCACAACAAGGACAAGCTTACCTTCATTAGCTCCACTTCCAGTACATCAACCTGACACACCAAAGCATCGAGATGACCGAAGAAACGAGCACCAATCATTGGCATGATGCTGTTTATTGAGCGGTTCAGCTGGGGATTCAGTAGATATCTAAGAATGGGCAGAACATGAGACCGATATATGCACAGATAAGGAGCGGATGGATATCCATGTGTACATGCACCAATAAGAGAGAGAGAGTGTGTGAGAGAGTGTGAGAGAGAGCGAGAGATAGAGAGAGTGAGAGTGAGAGAGAGAGAGACACACACACACACACACACACACACACACACACACACACACACACACACACACACACACACACACACACACACACACACAGTGCATGGTGGCAAAGGTGAGCAGGTTGTGTAGAGGAAGGATAAACAGATAAGTAAAGTTTGCACATCCGTGTTGCCATCGACTATACAATTGTGTTGAGAAACACAACCAACTTCGGAAGGATCAGGACACAATCGATTCAACCATTGCATGGCTGGCTAATGGAAGCTAAATTCCATAATTCCACACACCATAGCAAGTTGGCTGAGCTTCTTCACCCTAACAGACTGTTGAAGGTACAGTCACACAGACGGGCAGGCAAACATGCAGCAGCAGCAGACTCACATGACAATGTTCTTGAGATCTCCGCTATAATGCTGGCCTAACATGTCGATGGCAGCATGTGGACTCTGAACAGCCAGTATGGAGTTACATGTCAGGCACAGGATTAGGCCTCCCAGCGCTGTCAAGTCCTCTTGCTGCACGGCAAACATTTGTGCACAGCAGAAATCATTCCAGATCAAATACTAGTAGAATGGCCAAATCTGAAAGAAGAACCATGGTGTTGGTTCGGACCTGCCTTGACGGACAAACGGCATGCGGATCAGAATAAACTGGCTCCATGCTTCCTGTGATGCCAAGGGAACTTTGAGTAGGTCCAGGAGCCAGGGCAGCCGATTAGAAAGAAGTTCAAAGAACTAAACAGAGGGGGATCAGTCAGGCTTCACTATCGAATTCTCAAGGAAAGGGAGTGCTAGCCATCTGGATTATTCTGATCAACCGCATTCCCATATTTTGTACAATGAATTGTTTAGGGAAAAATTACACAATCTCTGCACACATAAACACACATAAACACACACAACACACACAACACACACAACACACATAAACACACACACACACACAAAGCTTCGAACTGGCACAAACCTGGTGTTGCTGCATGAGCGCGCTCTGATCAGTGTGTCCTATGTCAAACGTGAGAATGTCCATGATACCAACACCGCTGAGGTGAAGTCTAATTCAGCACAGACACACCAACATACACAAAGCATTACCACCCAAGCCTCAACATATCTTCGTTGAGTTCGTTCCAATGGCTATACGTGTAACATGACTCAAATACAGCAGGGGCAGATCACACTTTGCAAGTCATGCCACAATGTAGAAATGTAGCAGCAGACTATGAGTAAGACAAGTGTGAGGCAAATGGGCCATTCTACACACTGAGTATTAGTAGGCATGAAACGTGATATGCAGTACATGTAGTGGTTTGGGAAATGAACATACTTCCTCCGCTTCAATAAAATTGTCGCAGTTCTATGAGCAAAATATATACAGACAGCGATTTTAATGATCAGGAGGAAGTAGTTGGCAGGTAGTGTAGTGTAGAATAAGATACAGACAGACAGACAGAGTGAGACAGACAGACAGACAGACAGACACACACACCTTACCACACACACGGGAACATACCTGGACTTTCCAGTCACTAAGATCTTGCTCGGGTGTATCACACGACAAGCCAGGCCTGCGTTATGAACTGCTCGAACAGCTGATGCCAGCTGTATGACAAAGTTCCAGATGATAGGCTCCTTCAAGCCAGGGGAGAGAACAGGGCTTGAACTAGAGGACTGTGCCTGTGTAGCCGGAGTACTACTGCGCGCCATGTGATGTCGTTCATCGTCGCTTGGATTAGCTGCTGGTCCTCCCAGGCTGTTGAAGTAGCGCTGCAGCATTGTCTCGGCACCCGGACGGTAGTCATGGATGAACACAAGCGCTACAAGACGAAGAGAGAGAGAGAGAGAGAGAGAGAGAGAGAGAGAGAGAGAGAGAGAGAGAGAGAGAGAGAGAGAGAGAGAGAGAGAGAGAGAGAGAGAGCAACAGTCAGGTGATGTTAACCCTTTATGGACGGATTACTAGCACAGTATACACCAGAATTACAAAATGTCAGTACAATTTTCAACTTTTCCATGTCATAACTTTGGTGTCCTTCACTTGATTTTCACAATCAAGGGCTCATTGGAAAGCTCTTGGCGAGAGCTACGTCAGAGTACCAATCTCCATTATCCGGCCGCCACAAATCAGGCGCGGTAACACAGCAAAGTCGTCTCCAAGCCTGATATGCAAGCCAATTCGTCCCATCAACGCCATTCCACTCTCCTTCATCGCAGAACGCTCAAATCTGTTTGAGACGATTCAAACTTCAGCCGGCTACGTCATTATCATGTGCTCAGTCGCTCAAAGAGCACACGAAAAGGGATTTTCCCCCCAAATGGCGAAATGATCGATCAAAAATTTGAATTTGCCGAGGTAAGAGTACGGCGTGCGATATCTCTGGCGTCCGACATTGTAACTCTTCGGCGATTGTTGCATTGGACAGCTTGGAGTTCCCGCTACCACGTAGACCCTTCGATTGTGGAATTTGCTCAAGAAACGATGGAGTTACGAAGTTTCGATCTTATTAGATTGAAACTCGTACAGTCCGTCCACAAAGGGTTAAAAGAAAAATAAAGGGCAAGTAATGGCTATCGCCAGGACCCTCCTAAAATGACCAAACACAATCCAGCAGCCAACAGATGAGCGTAAGTGCAGTTTTCAAAACCATTGGCTAGTACGACATTGGTAAGCAGTGGTGCAGCCACGCAGGTGTACAGTCATCACCAAAACACTAGCATCCTCACAAACATACCAAATACATGTACATGCACAGTCAACCTTGCGAATAGTGATCCTCGATCGTGCATGAGAAAAAATGCCGTTACTTGCGAGTTGTTTTTCGGGAGGTTAAACGTATGCAGTCAAACGGTCTGAAGATTGTGTGCGTATTCGCGAGTTGATATACCCGAGGTCGTTATTCAGGACGTTGACTGTACACTGTACTACATTAGCAAGAGGCTAGCAATCACATGGACTTACAGCTATCACATGGACTTACAGCAATCACATGGACTTACAGCTATCACATGGACTTACAGCTATCACATGGACTTACAGCTATCACATGGACTTACAGCTATCACCAAAAGCTTTAGTGGTGAAGAGTTCGCGCAGTGCGCACACGTTTGGGTGACTCAGCTTTCTCCACTTCTCGATTAGAACCATTGATGCTGTGCTGGACAGACGATAGCCTAGTCAACACACAGGCACACACACACACACACACACACACACACACACACATGGCAGACACGATGACAGCAACCAAGCAAAGTTAGGCATCACAACTTGAGTTGGGGCTACAATCTTCCTCCTAACAAACCAACACACACACACACACACGCGCTCAACCCAGCAGCAAATTGCAGTACCTATGAAAATTAAAAGGACAGCATGGGCAGAATTCTACCATTGCACGCACGCGCGCACACACACACACACACACACACACACACACACACACGGTTATTTGTCCTTCCTTACCTATGATATGCCGTAAGCAGTATGGCTGTCCATCTCGAACAGACAATGCCTTGTAGCAGTTCGACGGAAAGTGAAAAAGGCGCGAAGAAAACTGCGAAGACACCAACACACAACACACACGCGGTCAGAACTTGACAAAGACGACAAGAATGCAAAGAAAGTGAAAGTGTCAGCACTGTATCAGCCCAATGGTGAATGCCCGAGCAGCAAGTGCCACACAACTGACGTTAAGAACTCTACGGTAGATACTTGTACGGCAATACGGCAGTAAGCACAGTGTCAAGCCTACCTGCTTCGTAGATGGATGATCCAGCGGCTCAAGTCGGTACAGCTGATTGTACTGCTCGACCTCGGCGACTGGCTCTGTGCACATGCAAGAGTGAACAAAGGACATATAGAACACACCGTTTAATAGCCAGAAATAAAAGATAGTGTCAAGCGGCCAAGCCCCATGTAGAGATGAATCATACCGTGTACGTATCCTGAAACACGAGACCTGGTAAACTCAGTGATTTACGGGCTGTAGCAAAGGCAATGTTATCCTTGAAATGACGTATTATTTTAACCCTTTATGGACGGATTACTAGCACAGTACGCACCAGAATTACAAGATGTCTGTACAATTTTCAACTTTACCATGTCATAACTTTGGTGTCCTTCACTTGATTTTCACAATCAAGGGCTCATTGGAAAGCTCTTGACGAGAGCAACGCCAGGGTACCAATCTCCATTATCCGGCCGCCACAAATCAGGCGCGGTAACACAGCAAAGTCGTCTCCAAGCCTGATATGCAAGCCAATTCGTCCCATCAACGCCATTCCACTCTCCTTCATCGCAGAACGCTCAAATCTGTTTGAGACGATTCAAACTTCAGCCGGCTACGTCATTATCATGTGCTCAGTCGCTCAAAGAGCACACGAAAAGGGGTTTTCCCCCAAAATGGCGAAATGATCGATCAAAAATTTGAATTTGCCGAGGTAAGAATACGGCGTGCGATATCTCTGGCGTCCGACATCGTAACTCTTCGGCGATTATTGCATTGGACAGCTTGGAGTTTCCGCTACCACGTAGACCCTTCGATTATGGAATTTGCTCAAGAAACGATGGAGTTACGAAGATTTTACCGCCTGCAGACTTTCGATCTTATTAGATCGAAACTCGTACAGTCCGTCCACAAAGGGTTAATAGTGTCGGTGCTTGATGGCATATAATGAACATAACCAATACAAGGAAGTGAGGGTGAATTCAACCACGGACCGAGAGCAAAGATGAAATTAAGAGAAAAAGGAAAAAAAACACTTGAATAGTTTGCAGGCAACCTGCCTACACTCAAGAGAGCACTGAAACAATACTACTAATGGGTTTGTGTGAAATGCAGTGCTCTCTTGTGTATAGGCAGGTTACCTGCAAACTATTCAAGTGCAATGAAGCTACGTGAAGCGTCCTTCAAGATACTGTACAAGCAAAAATATTCGTCTGGAATTTAATTTCGCCTTTTTCGTCCAAGGAGCTTTGGGACTAAATTAAATGACGGACGAATGTCGATTTGTCCAGCGTTTCTATGCACTGTTATAGTCCATGGACTAAATTTTCAACCGGACGAAATCCCTTTCTTTGGAGTTGGACGAAATTATTGACCGACGAAATTTTCTGCCTGTACAGTATTGAAAAAAACACATATCTTCATTAGAACACATAGGTGCCTATGGGTAGCGACTTAGCGAGTAGCTTCCCGCTGACGGTGATTCTGAGTAGAGAGGGAGAAGGTGCAGGTGCAGACAACCTGGTTTTCGAATCCAAGGCTGCCGACACCTCCCGTGGATATATTAACGTTCTTGGAAATTTCCGGCACCTCCGCATATAACAATGTTCCTTTCTAGCCTAGCTTACTCTGAATATCCGAGTAATTTGAATATTTCTCTCAGCCGTAAAGTAAATTACTCCTTGCATGCACTACGCCGGGGTTGCTTACCATCATCAGGGACTGGCTGCGCAAAGCTTAGCATCTGCCGCTTAGCTAATTCCTGAAGCACAGAGAAGAGGAAAGACTGTACTTAGTCTGTCTACCCACGGGGGATAATGTGCAATGGTGCAAAAAAAGACAGCGAACGAATTGAGAAAGAACAATGCAAAAAAAGGATTCGTATAACACTCGTCAGGAACCACCGTTGTACTGAAGAACAAATTAGAACTAAAGAACAAAAAAAGAAACGAAAGTTTGAGGAGCAACACCTAATTACAGCACTAAAATTGTTAGTACGCATATCGTCGTTGTCCCCACATGCATTGCTAGAAATCACACCTTGATATTTAGCAGACAAGCATGGTGTCAAGAAAGCATACATCAAGTGCATAAACTCAGGTGGGAGAACTAGAAATTCTGCCTTCATTTTGGAATTGGCGGAATTGGATTCTGTTGAAGAAATCTGTGCAGTCGAACGGTGAAAGCGTCATAGATTTCTAGAATGAACGGAACTGTGTGGAATCAAACATGCCCAATGTGGAATCAAACATGCCCAATGTGGAATCAAACATGCCCAATGTGGAATCAAACATGCCCAATGTGGAATCAAACATGCCCAATGTGGAATCAAACATGCCCAATGTGGAATCAAACATGCCCAATGTGGAATCAAACATGCCCAATGTGGAATCAAACATGCCCAATGTGGAATCAAACATGCCCAATGTGGAATCAAACATGCCCAATGTGGAATCAAACATGCCCAATGTGGAATCAAACATGCCCAATGTGGAATCAAACATGCCCAATGCCAACCCACATCTAAGTATAAGACACATACCGTATTTTTCCGGTTGTAAGTCGACCTTTTACGACTTAAAGGGGAACTCCGGTCCAAAATCACCCCCATTTTTTATTGCGGAATCCATTAGAGTATGTCGTAAGTGGTAGAATGGCGAAAACCGGAAGCTTCTACGACAAGGATAACATACCTAAATTACCAATTGCAATTTTCCATATTTGGCACGAGGGGGCCCCCTCCCACCCTGTGACGTAAAACGTTCTCAGCCCGGTCCACTCAGATGAATTTTTCAAATAATTGAAGCAAGAATGAAAAGTCCTTGGCCATTGTTGAAGTGCTTGTTGTTCTGTGCCATGCCCGATTTATTGTCACGACTCGCTGCTGCGTCTCTGGATGCAACAATGTCACGAAGAAAGAGGCGCCTGCGGGCTGTCGTAGCATGGCTTTCCTCTGGCTGACGCGAACCTGACGACAGCTTGGCTATGGAGAGTATGTTGGAAGGATTTTTCTCCGACGAAAAATAATCGTGTCTGCACTGAGCATTTCACTGAGATATGCTATGAAAGAGATTTCCAACAAGAGTTGCACAAAGCATTGGTGGCTATAAGCAGAAGCAGCAGCGACGCTTGAAGCCAGGGTCTCTGCCATCCTGAAACTTGGCGGTGCATGTCATACTAATAGTTAGTAGCTCCTCTACCTCTGCTGCCAGCAAAAGCAGACCATCTTCGATTTACTTCCAGGAACGTGAGCACGATGAGGTAAGTGAACGGCATGATTTTGTGCCGTCCAGAACGTAGCTCTAAACGACTACAGTCCTACTCAAAGTCCTCTACTCAAAATCCTAGTCAGTGAAGTCGAGAATTGATGTAATGTACATGGAACGTTATCATGTGTGTTATTTCGGTTCTCTTTATCTGTAAGTTTCCATTGCGTTACTTTCCGGTTGCAGCTACACTGCCACAAATACAAGGTACAGTATGATTTGTAGTCTGGAAAATTTCCATGCTGTCATACTGAAGTGGGCACCAAGACGTGTCCACTTTTCGTACAATGGCATGAGAGCACGGGTACAGTCGGCATGTCTGTCCCACAATGCCAATATAGGGAGAGCGCACGCCAAAACCAAGGAGGGTGTGCTCAGGTACAGGCTGGAATACACCAAGAGCACAAAGTGGCCAAGAAGCTGCACGACAATGTCCTGCAACTTCTTGAAGGACCTGTTGAACGATGTGCATACAACCATTCTCGGCATTCGCCACGGCACCGGCACAACCCCATGCTCCCGAACACAGTACAGTCTTGTGCCATTGTATCTGTCAACTTTACCAGATTGTTCATGCAGCTGCATTGGTGCAAAGCATGCGCCCACCCGAAAACACAAATATTGCCCGAGTCAAGAATAGTTATAAATCGTGTCTGTCAACTGTTTTCTACATTCTGCATGCACATGTACCAATGATTATGTGAACGTCAACCAGGCCAAGAAGCATTATCATCATCATCATCATGTCCAACTGCTTCCTCAAAGCCCCAGTGCGCATCTGCATTGGCTTCTGGTACAGCTGCTTTATCTTCCATACCACGCAAGACGGTATCACACGCCGCTGCTTGCGTCCAAAGTATCCATGGGTGAACCATGTGTATTGTCTATACGCCACATGTCTCCAAATCCTGCACAAAACAGTTGGAGAGATGTAGATACACATACCACGAGTGTCTTCATGATTGTGTAAAAGTAAATAGTTTCAGTGTAAATAGTTTCGGATTCGAATTAATATTTCTATGGGCTACTATACTAAAGACACTTTGGCCTTTTTTCAAATTTACATCACTTTTACACACAGTTGAAACACTTACAGTGCTAGGAATAGTATGAATGAAAGACATCGTTGTACCAGTATAATTATATTGGCATGGGTGCAATAGAACTTCATGATTGTGTGATGGAAGTTGGTGAATTTGAATACTGTACACAAAATCATTGCACAACACTTCCCATCTACTTTGTACCGGTACATGAAACATGGAAAGAAAGGAAATAATGAAACCGATTCAGTGTATCCTCACCTGTTTGACCACGGTCCACACCTTGCCCGAAATTCTTCGAAGGAAAGCAATGCCACCTCGAGCACTGATTTTTGCAGGCAAACAACAGCAAACTCTGAGTGCTGCGTGACGCACTGCAGCCCTTCCTGCTCGCCGCGTTTACTGAAAGCTGCAGGAACCTCCCAGCAACAAGTCGACTCGACCTCGCTCCACATCATGCTGCATTGTCCGCAACGGCATCAAGCAGTGCTTCTCACGCGAGCACTTGCAACCAAAGCGTTCTCTTCACGTTCATCTGTTTTGTAGTCTCAGAAATATTACTTGTAGACAGTTTCGCAGACGCTGATGCGCGCTTCGGCTCGAACCTAAAAGGCCTCGGTGTTGTTGAATCCAAAGTGGCGTCCACCTCCACACCTCCCGTGGTCTCCTCTTCCTCCAACATGATGATCGAATGAATACTAGTACAAGGGTTATTGATTGAAGAAAAACAGTGAATACCTTTTTCAAAATTTCTGCAGGTCTACCATGTACCATTTGAATAAAAAATTTGGAGGTCACTGAGAACGTTTTACGTCACAGGGTGGGCGGGGGCCGCCTCGTGCCAAATATGGAAAATTGCAATTGGTAATTTAGGTATGTTATCCTTGTCGTAGAAGCTTCCGGTTTTCGCCATTCTACCACTTACGACATACTCTAATGGATTCCGCAATAAAAAATGGGGGTGATTTTGGACCGGAGTTCCCCTTTAAAATAGAAGGAGAAAGGGTGGGGGTCGACTTACAACCGGGAACTATCAGTATCTTACAAAAAAATGACCTGCACTGCATGCACGAGTGCACCATGTTTATACATTTTTGCCAGTTTATTGGCCTTTTTCAAGGATTGGGACGTTATATCCTCCAATAAGGAATGTTTACATGATTTGTTGATGTGTTAGTAGCAGGAGGTGGTTAGTAGTGCTTCTTTGGGTGAAAACATTATAACGCAGAATTGAGACCTCCAGATAGGGGGGTCGACTTACAACCGGTAAAATACGGTACACACACACGTGAACACACACACGAACACACGCGCGAACATACACGCGCGCACATTTGCACACACACTTGTTGATATGCAGATGAAAGGCATACAGAGCACACAATGAAGCAGCCCGTACCTCGGCTATTTCCGACGATGCAAAGTAGGACTTTGGTCCATCGTCAGCCTTGACACCCAGAGCTTGCAGGAAAGGCGGCGCTCCAGGAAAGACCGTGGTTGGAATGTTGGAACCGACCGTCCCAGGCTACATTTGGTTGAAAAAAAGAAGGAAAAGAAACCAGGCGACAATGTTACTGACATGTGCATATATCTCCAGTAGTTTTCATTTTCCAACCTTAGGACAAGAGTGCAATGTGGTGGTAGTGACGCCCCAAATTAGGAAAAAGGGATAACAAATTGAGAAAATGAATATTTTCGAAATGGCGAGTCGCTAAAATGTAGGTTTGCAGCGCACGGCAAACCGTAGTTATCGCGGACAACCGAGCAGCAGGCAAAAGCCACGCGCGTGGCTAGGCGCGCAACAATGGGGGTGTCTGGCATGCAATGGCGGGCAACCGTACTAGGGAAAGCCCAGGTTGCACCATGAGCACTAGTACGCCCACAGGCGAGACTACCCCATATTTGCATGAAGGTTGTAGTGCTACGAGTCGTAGTATTAATGCAAGGAGTACGGCAGACAGGGCTCATGCATGGTGCCTAGTCTCTATATTAGGAAGCAGGTCCTTTCGTGGCACGAAAGGGCTCCAGCTGCAGCGCGCGTGCTAAGTCTCAGCCAAGCGGCAATGCATAGTACTCACCGAGCAGGCATGCAAGATAAAACTGCAACAAGGCGGTACGGGGAAAGGACTATATCGACTAGTACAGTGCCAGGCAGAGACAGGCGGTATGGCGGAGAAATGCATATCACGTATGGAAAAGGCGAAGTCCCCGGTGGCCATCGGACCCACGATAACAGACACCACCATGCTTATATGGAAAATAAGGCGCGAGAGCTCACCAGGTAAGGTGGGCCGCGGGCAGGAAGACAGAAAATAGAGGACCCAGCATGGGCCGCATAAGCGCGTGGCAAGCGCAAATGGTGTAAGACATACTCACGAAGGCCACCACGCGAGAGTGCGGCAGCATGGGCTGTGTACGAGAGTACGATGCCGGGGCAACGCAGGGCGGACCAAGCTGTGGTGGTGCTACACAGCGTACAGGCACGAAGCACCTCAGCAGTTGGAGGTGGCGATCGCAGTGTCATCATCAGTTCTGGCAGCTAGCAGTAGCAGATGGGCTTGAATTTTTTTAATACTATCAACGAGGAGCAGCAGGCAACCCTCGTTTCACAATGGTGATTGCATAATCACATGGCAAAACAACAAAAATGGAACCCCATTCTACAGTGCTATGGTGTGTGTGTCTCGGGGGAGGGGCGATAACCATTAATTATTCTACTACAGCCAATACTAGTACCCACAAGCAATCAAGAATTAGCATCACAACTTCACAATCAACAGGCCATCATGCAGCAGCAGCAGCACTATTGTTACCTCTTCCTCTTCCAAGGGTACAAAGTAGGTGGTTCCCCGATCCATGTGTGGTAGTAGAGCAGCTGCCTGCAGAGTAAAGAACAAATAGATAGAAAACAACCTAAAGAAGATGACACAGCAACGACATAGCTCGATCGCGACATACGTTTCGTCCCCGCTGGACTCATCAGGCAGTCATCTTCTTAGTTCTTACACGTCTTCATACGGAGCTTCACTCGGGAGAATGAAGTCGAAGACACCACTGCAGCTGTACTTATGGTTGATTAATATGGTGGTAAAGACACACCTGGCAATATGGCGGTAAATACACGCCTGCCCACACACGCTCTCTAGGCTGCAAAGTTCTGGCACAGAGCTCTCCTTCTCACCACCACCACCATCAGTTCGCGCCTGGCGCCAAGTCGATGCATGGTTGGCGGTATCCGAAATAGCAGGCCGGTACATCAGGTAGGGCATGGCACATAGAAGATGACACAGGCAATCTTCTTCTTGGATGTCTTCTTACGGAGCTTGACTCGGGAGAATGAAGTTGAAGACACCACTGCAGCTGTACTTATGGACTAGGCGCCAGGCGCGAACTGATGGTGGTGGTGAGAAGGAGAGCTCTGGGCCAGAACTTTGCAGCCTAGAGAGCGTGTGTGGGCAGGCGTGTATTTACCGCCATATTGCCAGGTGTGTCTTTACCACCATATTAATCAACCATAAGTACAGCTGCAGTGTTGTCTTCAATTTTTCATTAACCTAAAGAAGATTGAGAAGAAGTTTGGAGGCTTCCTGCAGTTTCATAGTAGATACAATTGGGTGAACTCACCCATTTGCAGAGTATTGTGGAATGGGTGAGTTCACCCAATTGTATCTACTAAAGAAGATTACTTCTAATATTCCCTAGTTGAGGGGATGGGAAAGGGAAAAAAGATACTTCTCTCAGCCAAAGTTTATCTCCCGGATGCACCTACCGTACTTCCGCACATATAAGCGCACGGGCTTATCTCCGGATATAAAGCGCACCCCACCCCATTTATAAGCGCATGTGCTTCTATACGATTGGTGAAACACCCAGGAGCTGAATACAGTACTAAGCATTGTGATAACACCATTGTTTAGGACACAGACAAACCTTTATTGCACATACACGCGCATGTGCTTCTACCTGGATATGTTTACACACACAAAAGTTGTTGCAGCAGATTTTCGCTTGTAAGCGCATGCGCTTATATGTGAGGAAGTACGGTATCATCAAGCTCTCTGTCACTCTCCCACTCTGCTCCTGGTATACTAGTGTGGCCAATACTGGCGGCGGCGGCGGTCAGCCTACCTGTTGGCCATCCTCGTCTTGCTCTTCATCATAGCGTGCATCACCGATTGTCACCATTGACGTGGTGGCCATGCCAGCAGTGGTCGGTCCGGACGGCAATTCTCCACCCATGGACTCCTGCTGCGACAATAACATGAAGAGCATAGGCGTAAACACACATACAGTCATCTTCGCTAATAACGACTGCGGATATAACGACAATTCGCGAATAACGACAGAATGTCCATGCCCAGAGCAAAGTCCCATCCCACTGTAATACATATAATGAGACTTCGGGTATAACGACACTTCGCGAATAAGGACACCTTTGTGATGCCCCGCCGAGTGTCGTTATAAGCGAAGTTGACTGTACGTGCACATGCCCAAACAACAGACACACATGCATGCATCCACGCACCCACACATGCATGCATCCACGCACCCACACATGCATGCATCCACGCACCCACACACACAAACACAGTTCGTCAAAGACTCTGAATCCAACTTACATCAAACTCAGGAAGCATTTTTTTTGTTTCAATAACAAAATAGAATTCACGGTACACACACGTGTCTAGTAGTGGCAGCACAGCGACAGGTACAGAACCCGATGGGTATCTACAGACATGACTAAATGTTTCCCAAGCACTGGCACACGTCATGCAGGGTTGTAGTTGCTGGGATTTTCGCTACGCCCATCATCAACCGGGTTTGGAATGCACTGGCCTTGGCTACTACACTATTCTTGTCTAAATGATCGAGTAGACACGCTCATGAACACGGTTCAATCAAACATCAACATAAACTAAGCCACAAACACACAAGGAGCTTACGTGTCCAGCTGTGGGATCAGAACCAGCCAGATCAAGATCACTAAGACCAGATGTGACACCTGAGAGCAGCACAGAACACCAAATAAGGGTGAATGAAGGACCCACGTTCCTTTAATAACCACTGTAGTCCTCTTTTCTCTTGTGGCCTACTATTTATTATTTGTTGTTGTGTTTCGTTAATTCATACCTCCTGCACGGTTGCGCTGTCCTGGTCAATTTGCAACAGCCTCTTATCACAGAAATTGCTTCTACTTTGCTGTACAAGTCACAAACTGTTGTTCCCTCTACGGTCGGGCCAGCTGCTACCCCTCACCAGTCTCTGGCCGAAGAAGACCACAAGGACGAGTCGGATGCTTGCACCGCTCTGTCAGCGACTGAAGACAATCGTGAAAGTGAGCCTTCACCCCGTCACTCCTCTACTGAAGCAGACCGCTAGAAATGTAAGTTGGATCCTACCGGTCAGCCAGCGACTAAACACAGCTGTGAGGACAAGTCAACACTTCGACTCTACCGCTCGTCGACTGAAGGCCAACACCATAATTACAGATACTAATCGACAGGTGACGGGCCAGGTACGTTGTGCACAAATGGCGATGGAGTAAGGTAACACCTTGGACAAGCACCCCCAGGTCAGGGTAGTGTAGGGTGTTCCTAGTACAAACTGTGTCATTGCGCAATGGGTGAAGCCATTCGCATTTTTACCATACTATAAACAATAGATTCATACAGCAGGACTACAACGAGAGAGAGAGAGAGAGAGAGAGAGAGAGAGAGAGAGAGAGAGAGAGAGAGAGAGAGAGAGAGAGAGAGAGAGAGAGAGAGAGGCAAATGGGGTTACCACAAACTGACCTGACAAGGGCAATTCAGCAGCCTTTGCAGCATAGCTAGCCTGAGAAGCTGACGCACTTAAAGAGCTTGGTGAGTCACTAAGAACAGGCAAGAAGAAAAGACACGCGACTTCACCACCTGCTACTTAATTGCACAATGAACAAAGACGAAGGTGGCGTGTTTTCAGCACTTTCTTGAAAGTTTCTTCTCCTCTTTCCACATCTTGAGCGATTGTGTTGCCGCAAATGTGCCAGAGCACAGTATGAGCTACATTACAAAATGCTCTGCTTCTTCTTTCCTCATCTCTGTTGTTGGGTATAACACCTAGAGTCCAGCCTCACATTTCACCACTCTTGTCAGTTAGAGAAGCTACTCACTTGCCTTTTGTTGAATATTGATCACTCTGTGGGATGTTCTCAATGGTAATACTTCAAAAGTAGAAGAAAAAGAACACTTCCACTCTTCCACTCAAGCAACACTGAGAACATTTACCAACCATAGGAGAACAAGCATGTTACACGCTGCGTCAAATCAAAATAAACACACCTAATTGAACGAATTAATAAACCAAAATGACAGTGAAATTTACCTTTCCTGAAACTGTCTAGGTTTGGAAGAACCGTTGGCAGCCTAAAAAAAAGGAGTAAACACACAGAAAGAGCGAGCTTGAATGCATCCACAGTTTCATCTTTCACTTTGCAAAACTTATGTTCAATGTTCTCGCCTACACCCATGATGGGAGGTGCTAACTACAAAACCGATCAAAATTCTCTTCATCAGGAGATGTCTCGGTAGCACGGTAACAGTTTGGCTTTGTGTACCACTGAAGTGCTCCCATTGTTCTCTCCATCAACCTGACCAACCCAGCAGAAACGTTCTAGCGCCAGTCCCACTGCCACCACCTTGCTCCTAGTCCTGTTACTCGCTCCTCACTCACGTTGCAAAGGAGTTGGAGCATTCACACGATGCCAAAAAACCCCTGCTCGGGAGTCTACAAAGCATTATAAACTTCGCCAAGAGTCACCACACTTGATGTCAATAACTGCTTGGGCAGCATTAGCAATACGCAATATTGGCCAAAAACAGTACCAGCAACATTCTTGGGAAAAAATTCCACACACCTTCCTATCAGGTGGATTACAGCCAATAAAGAAATTGAATGAGAACAATGAATTTAATACAGCAGAGACGTGATAAAACAGCAGACAGAAGAGTAGCCAGAAACAACAACGGTAAAATGCGTGATATCATACACATAGAAGGAATGACAAAAAGGTGCATAAAGCTCCTTTGTGTGAACATCAACACTTCAATTATATAAGTACTATTGAGACAGCTTCTAAACATTCAATAATTTAGCACTACATACAAGTGACAAATGGAAAAAAACCAATCGTCTGAGTGCACACTGCACAGGACATTCAGGATGCTCCAACAAATGCAAAGGAACGGATTGCTCAGATTTACCCGAACTTGAATCAAGACAATCATGATGTGGGGTGTATTCCACCCGACGAGAAGATGTTGAAAGAATTTGTAGAATTTGTCTTCTTCGAAAATGCTGCTTGCGAGGTGCCGGACGTTTGAACTTTTCCAAAGTGTGATCGCATTTTTTGTCTCAAGAAAACTATTTACCATATTAGTGCTGCGTTTTTTTTGTAGATTTCGTACATACATCTTGAAGATGCAGATCTTTAAGAAGGTACCTTGCTTTGTCATCTTTTTTTTCTACTGTAGAAAAATCGTGCCTGGGCGAAGTGGTGATGAAGTTGCACCAGGTGATACCACTGATACGAATCATACCGGGAGCCGGTTTGATATGCCATCCAGGAAAACGAACATTGTTCGTGGTGAACGCATGGTGCGCTCTAAGACAAGCCGGGCTGAAAAGAAAGGTCTCGCTGTTTCGCCGCTGCTGTGCATGGCATTAAGCTGCCTGTCCTTATTGTCCTGAAGGAGCGGAACGATGTGCTTGCTAGCACAGTAAGCGGCAAGTTACGAATCCCGGAAAACATGTCGCTACAGGCATCAGTCAATGGCTGAATGGCAGCAGGTCTGCTGAACATTTGGCCGACAAAGGACATCAAGAAAGAGAACCAGCATGGTTTGATTGTGCATGATCAGTACTGTCCTCACGTCAGCCCTGAAACAGCAGCCATACTTTCAACCGTTTGCAACGCGAGCAAAGTAATGATTCCTGGTTGCTGCACCTCCATTGCTGCACCTCCATTGCTGCACCTCCATTGACCAGCCACATGACCATTCTGTGAACAAACTCTTCAAGAACTCCATCAAGTTTTCATGGAGCTCCTGGATGAAAACTGCATCTGTCAGGACTTGCCACAGGAACCCACATGGGCCAGGGTGCTTACTGTGCCTCGTGGCGCTGATGTGATAGCAGTACAATCATGTACTAAATCGCGGTGATACACATGTCAAGCTCACGGGGAATGCACACTCAAATGAAATCCAATGCGGCAGTGTCTTGACGGTTCATCAGTGATTACTGACTGATTCCATGTATTAATTAAAAGGTTTGTGACCAGATTGCATTATAATTCATACACAGACCAGCAGAGCACTCACTTCAGTAGGAGTATTGCTTGTACCTATGACACACGAATACAACAGCAAAGCACAGCTAATGAGTATTGGCACACGCAATAAATAGAACAACCAGCGCCAAGTCACGTCACAATTGATAAAATGCAAATGCCATACAGTGATAATAGGCGAAGCATCGGAACCAGCCGTACTTCCGACGGTTTCAGTCACACCTACACTGACTCACAGAAATCGGAAATCAAATCACCATTAGAAATTTCAACTCAGAATTTGACTGCCCTAACTGTTGAAGATATAATAACATCTGGCTTCTGTTGGCGAACAATTTTCTCCTGCTGGAAATACTGGTACAGATCTCTCGCCAAAAGGTTCGCTTGAGATTACTAGGTCTACCACCGACCAACATCGCCGCCTAAGCTTACCTCCGTTTGAGTCGTGAAGAAACTGGCAGGCGTCGCCGTAAAAGCAATACCCTGACTGAGCAAAGTAACGACATGTTCTACGACTCATTCTGGTGCTGAATTACACAATTGTCGTCAAAGTAGGTGCGTCGAAAAATACACCAGTAGCCAGTAATGAACGGAGAGCTATGGTCATTTGTGTTGCAAGAAGAGGCTGGTCGACATTCAACAAACACATCACGAATCCATTACAAGTACTCAGACTCCAAGGGTGGTACTGGTGAGCATGCCACCAAGCCAGCTACAAAGCAAAGCAAAAATTATTTGAAGTCAATGTAACGAAAAAGAAAATTTCTCTTTGCGATTTGGTGCAAAAATTTGCGATGAAACAATGCACTCGCCACGTGCACGTCTCGTTGCCTATGGCAACTAACTTACCTCGTTGCGGCAAATTTGAATTTCTTGGGAGACTGACAAGACCTGATCGGAACCAGCAAAATTTTAATGTTTGACTTTTCGTGGACGAAGTGGATGTTCTTGTGGATGTTCTTGGAAGACACTGCTGGCCATCTAATTCTTAGATCTCTACCTTGAGCCGAACAGCTGTTTGTTCCATAATCAACTGGATCAATGATCGTAAGAAGCTTTACGCCGTGTCAGGATGAGGAGGAGCCTGAGCCTGAGCCACCAACATTGGATGAGTATGGCGAGCCATCTCCAATGCGGGTTGCCTTCTGCAGTCGAATGACCGAGGAGGAATACGATCAACAGGCATCAGAGACGACCAAGAGGGCTCTGGATGACTTGTACTCGTCCATGGATACTAATCCAGTGCTGTACAAACGCATCCTACAGCGTCGCAAGCGCGAGGAAATGGAGAATGGAGGAATGTTCTCCTACCTGAAAGCTCAGGCACTTGCCTTTGTTGGCAGGGAAGATGCCTTTGCTGTGAGTGAAGATGAGTGTGCTAGTAAGATGAATTCCATGAAATCGCAGATGTCCAAGGTCTTTCAATATTCTGAAGGTGAGTGACACTGAGTATACTATGGGAGGCGTATAGCAGAGTTTGTCCAGCATGACTCGCCACACGAGAGAAGGATTGCAGTAAAAAGTATTTGAAAATTTTACAATCCTCCCAAATCACAATCCATGCATTCCATGCAATACTACATGTAGTACTGGGAAAATCATATACAGTGTACCATGGTGTACAGTCAGTGCATCAGACTCGTATGTCCGGGGGGGGGTAGTATAACATGTCAAGCCACTCTTCCACTGGACTCCTCTAGTTGCACTACACGTAGAGCCATACTAAAAAGACTACTGTACAGTGCAAAACAAACGACCATTCAGGAAACTTGGCCACCTTTCATAGAGTTTGTTGTTGCCTGTTCTCCAGGGTTACGTGAGCACAATGGGGTGAAGCGATCAACACGTCTAATGGAAAAGAAGCTGAGGAAATCAAAGCGGCAAGCAGCAAGCAATGCTGATATCGAGAATAGCAATCCTCTTGCAGCAGTGCCGCCGGCAAGACAACCTATCAGCACTTTCGCTGCCGTATCTTCAGCGAGCCCTTCCTTCGGCAATAGCAGCAACAGTAGCAACAGCATAACTTGCACACTGACATCTTCACAGCGTGCTGCTGTGCCACCTCCACCCCCTCTACCCACATCCTACGCTAGACATCAGCTCAAACCAAGACCGAAGGTAAGCCAAGACTGTGGAATACCAAATTCAGGTTTCTGTTCAATTTGATCCGTACCGTTTATCCCAATCGTGTCACTGTATGTGGAAAATTGGGTCCTTTGATTAGTTTCATATTATGTTGCTGCATAGTTTATCAACACAGTTGTGAGCTGCGATATGTAACATTACGCCTGTTTTGCCATTACGTGTGCTGTGGCTCAAACACCGTGTTGGATCTGCTGCTTTTCCTGTGTAGATTCAATACAAGAGGAAGGGAGACGTGGTTCGAGATCACGGCACCAGGTACTGGCTAGCGTGTAGTGGACCGTGTGTGTGTGTGTATGTGTGTGTGGCATCTACGTGTGCCTGCCAGTACAGGCGTATTCAGTACATTGTGCATGACTTTGCACTCTTCAGTATCTAATACATGTGAATGCCTTCAAACCCACTCTAAAGGAGTTTAGCATGCATCTCATACAGTACATGTACATAATAAGCGCATTTGCAAGATGTGAAGCTTGTCAGAATAGCTTTGCTCAAGAAACGTTCATGCTACTTTCTTGGATTTGCTTCATGCAGCCCAGCAAGAAAGTCGGTGAACAAGGAAAATCGAAAATCGCCAAAGGCCCTTTCGGTACTCAAAATTAATGGAACGCCATCGCCGAAATGGTCTTCCCCTCTAGCAGTCAAGTCAGTTTCTCCCGGACGACAGTCTTCAAGATTACAGGTAGCCGAGTCCACGTCACCAAGCCTGATGTCCAAATCCCCCTCGCCGAGTGCCGGAGCCCAGACTCGTGCACTGCGAAGCGCAACAGCCAACAGCTCAGCGAATGAGACTGGTCGGCCTCCATTGTCAGGACTGTTGATTGCGGACATTGTAAATCGCAAGAAGCATCTCAAACGTGCAACAAAGGCCCGGTAAGTAGCACCCACTAAGCTCCTACCTTCAACAATACATGTACATGCAATCACACCTGTAAGTCTGCATGCACCCATGCAATGCAACGTGTTCAAGCTGTGCTGTGATGCAGCATAGCTGTTTTTCTTCAAGGTGGACTTCTTCTTGTTTTTGATCTCAGAGTAGTGGTAAGCTGGAAAATATCACATTTCCCTTTTGTCTGGTCAACATTAGACATGCATGATATACGGATTATTCGGTAGATCTTCTTTCACCTGTTGGGCATACTCTCCAACAAGATTTACCTGTGGAAGCATCTCATTATCTTCTGTCTCGCTGTCTGTCTCTTTCTGTGCGTGTGTGTGCGTGTTCTATGTCCTTGGTACAGATCACCTGGAGGCACACCAAAGCTGCACGCCATGACACGCCCAGCCAGTAACACACCCGCCTCGCTCTTCAACGCCGAGCTTGTGAAGAAGTTTAGAAACGCTCACTTGCAGTCGCCGAGTCCCACGCACAGCTGCAACACCTCATTCAACGACAGTATGGACAGCAGTGGCTGGACTAGTCCAGATATGGCCAGGAAACAAGTAAACCAATGCTCTTCATAGGTCTGCGATGTGCCTGTGTGCGTCAGGGAGTCGTAAAATACTGGTGTGTGCGTGCTTTATCACTTCACACTCTTACACACATCCATGCTTTGCCACAGTGACAGCAGGACGTCCAGCTTCAACTATCGGCAATGCATGGCAGACCATAGATCAGTGAATTTGGCTCCTCTGCTGTATCCCCTGCCTAACAAACTAGACTTCAAAGCAGTGCATAGCACATGCCAGCCAAAACCATGCATGACCTTCAAAACATTCATAACAAATTTCATAGCATGGCGGTACGCCATCATCAACCTGACAAATGCATGCTAATGAATTAACTCATCCATAGAGTCATGTATCATACTTATGCGAATGTCTTCACTGCACTGTCCATGTCACTTCAATCATTTTATTTTGTTTATACCTTTTATTACCAATGATATCGTCACGTTTTGTTTATGATGATCGAATCTTCAGTAGGAGCGGCAGAAAGTGGAATTTAAATAATGGTTTTTGAATTTGTACTGCATGTAGTCATTAGACACCATACAAACTAGCTTCTCAACTTATTTTGCCTGCACATCAGTGTCATTAGACGTATGTTTGTTCATCCGTTTGTTTTATTTACGCAGCGTGACCTGATTTGTTTACCAGCTAGAACGCATGTGTGTTTTCTCCCTTTTCGTGTGTTGATCGGCCAGTTTTACATGCAATCATTTATTATCATTATAATTGTTACTTGCACTACTACCGTATCTATGAAGGAGGCAGAGCAAACACTGCTACTAACTTCTTAGTATTGTCCCGTCCAAACATCACACATACACACACACACACACACACACAGCCCATGTGTCATTTTTAGGTTTGTTGTCACAAATCACATGACCTGCATGTGGTTCAAAACTAGGATCCATTCAAGGGAGGCAGAGAAGTACACTGGAATGGCCCAGAAGGAGTAAAACAAAGAATTGGAGATAGGTGAAAGTGGTTTGCCATCAAATAATTACCTCCATGAGAGAGAGAGAGAGCTTGTAGGAGCCGCATGATGACGGGACTACGTAGAGACAATACCGGAAACGGTTGCATTGACATCAGTGCCTGTAGAATACTGTACTTGACCATTACGGTCATCACTTCGCCAAATACGGCAATGAACTGAAGTCCACGGGTCGCAGCACGGGCCAGGACCAAGGCACTGGTGTAGCAACGAAGGAAAACATTGCTACCCGGCTTATCGTACTCATGATCATTGCAACCAAGCATCTCCATGATGTACCCGCGCCTGAGAGTCCAGCAGCAGCCCAGCCGAGAACCCAATACACTATCACGATGTAATATGCTGTCCACGGAAACTCGAGAGTAAACATTTGACTAGCAGTCGTACTCACATTCTCCAAAAGTAGACATTTGAGCACAGGTGGCTGGCTGCGTTGAGTGATTGAAGACATACAGGCTGGACATGGCTGTTGACACTGTGGCCTTCTGGTGTGTGGACCTTGTGCTGACAAGTCGGGACAGTGAACAAAGACTACAAGCCACGTATCACCTGGCACACAAGAAGCCTTGGTACTAAGATGCCTTGGTATTGCGATGCCTTGGTACTGTGATACATTGGTACTGCGGTGCAAAAAGCAGTGCAGGCATTCAAAACTAACTAGAAGCGATCCGTCCCCGTAGCTGCCCAGCCGTGCGTATACCGGCTACCTTTCATACTGCGGCCAGCCCAAGCAGTTGTGTTGGTCTATGTGCTCAACGATCTCCTGTAGCAGCACGTTCTGCTCGCATTTACAGATCAATAGTTGGCTTGGACTTGAATTTCTTGGCTGAGCGTTCACTGGCCCTTGAGCCCAGCTGATTGCCATAGAGAGTCATGTGAAAGCCACCTAGCTCAAATGTAAACACAGTGTGTGCCTTCGGGATAACTGTCAACAAGAAAGAGAACAAAAAAGCAAGCATCAGCCAAATTTGTTGTCTCGGAGACAAAATGCAATAAAACTCAAGAAAAGAACAAGCTTCAGACTCCCGTACACAAATACATACAGTGTCATACACATCGGCATACTAGTATTCATGTACACACATGCTGCAGTGCAACAAGTACTTTCGATTCTTTTGAAGCTTCAGGCTCCCGTACACATACATGTATACATACAGTGTCATACACGTCGGCATATTAAATATACACACATGCTGAGGTGCCATGAGTAGGTGAATCACATGGAGGAAGATAAAGCCCAGAACCACACCTCACCTTTGACACAGTCTGCCCTCGTTACGATCTTGAAGACATTCTGCAGTTCCTGCAAGATAATGCCCGTGGTCCCAACATAGCTTGGGCAGCGAGACTTGGCAACTGGGGGTAAAGGAATCAAGAACACAGAGCCAATGCAATAAGACCATTGTGTATTGCCAATGGAATGTATGAGTAAGGCATGTAAGTACACTGAGCAAGATGGCACAGTTCAACACCTTAGACAAGCATTCCCAGGTGGCAGTGTAGGGTGTTCCTAGTACAAACTGTGTCATTGCGCAATGGGTGAAGCCATTCATATGTTTACCATACATAAACATTATATTCATACCGCAGGACTATAATGAGAGAGAGAGACACGGAGAGAGAGAGACAGAAAGAGAGACAGACAGAGAGAGAGTGAGAGAGTGAGAGAGAGAGCATGCTCGTGGGCCCTTGCTTTGTTGACCGCATTTGAAGTAAATCTAGGCGGATTTATGTCTCCATGACAAAAGTGTTGAGAAACACTCAAGGCATTCGCATCAATAGGACACCACTACAATGGTCTGACTAAAAGAAGCCGAAGATACAGTTGCTGACTCCACACGCACTGTTGCTACTGGACGTGCTGTGAGAATAGAGCAAGGTAGCTAGAGCACAGGTCAGTCTCTCATCAGCTCACCAACGCCAATGACTTACCAGTAACAAGACATCCGTGGTAGTCGGCTTTCTGCAATTTCGATTCGAGAACGTGCGGGAACCTGTGCACAAAGACAGTGCGAGTGCAGAGCAATTACTCCAGGCCACGTCCTACACTGCAGTCTCAGACTTCTTACCAGCTGACAGGTTCTACACAATTTACTGTAATTTACTGTATGTATGTGCCGGTAACAATCACGAATACTATAGTCCATTCATAAAAAGATGGGTCCTGGCTCTGGCGAGCTCCCGTATTTGGCGATTTTTCGTGATTTCATCGTACACAGTGCAGTGCTGCGAACTTTGAAATTTGAAAAAGGGTCCAAAAAGGGTGCCTGAACTGGGGTTCGAACCGCAGAATGCACTGTTGCAGGCGGGGTCAAACGGCCTGGATTTTGATGGTTTTTCCCAATTCAGTGCTTTTGGGGCAAAACCTGGCCGAAATCCTATTCTTGCTATGGCTTGCTTTTTGGACAAAAAAACTTCAGAAACATAATTGGAAGAGGATTCCATATGGGATTGCAGAAAAAAATTCTAAAAAAACTCAACGTTTGACCCATTTATGGCCAAAAGCTAGAAATTCATTTTTTTCTGAATGGACTGTAGTACAGTCTAACCTCATTAAAATTAAAAAATCTACTATTCAAATCTACTATTAAACTGCTATAAAGACCAAGAATGGTCTCAACATGCCTCGATCCACGTGGATCCAAAAGTCAGTGCTATCACGACTCCAGCCTGGTATGACGTAAGTAGCACTTTCAATCCCTACTGAATGATGCCATCACACATAATACCAACAGACTACCTTACCTAGAAGATTTGAGCGAGAGCAGCTCTGTTATATACTGTCGCCATAGGTCGTGCAGTGGGAGAAACAGATCAAATCTGAACACAACGCAAACACACACACACACACAAGGTTCGGTCAACAGCAACCTAGCATACAAGCCGCTTAGCTTATACCGCACAAGTACTTGCCCGGTGTAACACATTTTGTATAGAATATCTGCAGAAAGGATTTTCAGAGCACAGTGTTGATGTGAAACAACAAAGCAATTCTCTCCAGAGACACCAAGCACGAGAATAGGAGCTTACAAATAGGAAACCAAACGAACTTCATATTAGGGGCTGTCCGTAATTATCGATCCTTTTCACGAAGAGAAAAAAAGTTTCGTTTATGGGTGGGTGGGTTGAGGAGAGTTTCGTTTTGAAAACTATTGATAGCTGAAACATCAATCCATTCTAGCTGTCAAGTCAATATAATATATTATTTTTCGTTGAAGGGGATGGGTGGGTGGGGGAGGGTCATAACTAAACCTTTTCGTTCTGTGAAAATTATCGATAATGCCGGATGGCCCCTAAGGAACAGGGAGCAGTAATCTTATTCACAAATAGAAATTATAACATCCAACGACACTATAGGAGCACGACTTCATACTGATACTACTCGTATGAATGAGTCGACAAATACCAGTGCTCAGCTGAACAAGAAGCGATAAAAGTCTAACAAGTGACACTCTCAGTACTAAGAAAGTTGTGAACATCACGCAACTACATTATAAAGAAAAGGGGGTTTGCCAACTGACAACCGTTCTATTCAGTTGCTATTCACAGTCTGCGCATGCGCTGCATTTAAAAACCTTTTTATAGTAATGTTGAAAAGTATTGACGTTTCCGGCCAATCACCCATCGTCAGAACTGTCAGTTGACATCTCCCCCCCCCCCCCCTTTCTTTACTCCCATTAATTTACTACTGTCGCAAAAGCCACTAGCCGTGTCATGGGAGCAAGGTTCGCCTCTAGCTGACAGGTGCATTGTCTGCAAACAGAGTACAGTGAAACAGACTTCAGTGAAGCCTTACCTTTGCTCACCCTTTGGAAAGCGGCCAATACCAAGCGAACGTCTTTCCTTTGCAGACAGTTTCTTGTTACGACTGTGTGTTCCACGAGGGAGTCGCCGCCACGCTGTCTTAGCAGGCCCTTCTACAACAATAACTTTCGTCATCAGGTCAGCCGCCCTGCCCACTGGCTTGAGGTGAAGGTCTGTAAGTGGATGTGTATCGTCGGCATTGCCCTACATGAGAAATATGTACATGCACATGTGCACAAGCGTGCGCGCGCACACACACACACACACACACACACACACACACACACACACACACACACACACACACACCTCAGACCTGCCCATCGCGGAAGCGATCATAGCGAACAGCTATGATAGACATAGCAACTTGTGCTGGGATTGCACCATTCAACAGCTTGCAAGGCTGATGAATTGACCGCCACTATTTTTAGCCTGGTATCCACCACACAGCTGATTGAAGTGACTTTTTCTGGCCAGTGAATCCCTATTTTTCATTTTTCCATTTTTTCTTTTTCGACAATCACCACACCACATACTACGGCATACACTGGCTGTTGGTAACCACCCAGGAGAATGAAAGAAGAGCTAGGAGAATGAGAAAGAGAAGAAAGACGTGTGCGACCATAATCACACACACTATGTACCATGTACCATGTATACGCCCGTCGCAAGAGAAGCACGCAAATCTGCAAATGCACTGGATGTGCACCCACAGATTTTCTCTTATAGCAACGATAGCGAACAAGATCTGAATGAGACAGATCAAGACTTGCGCCAGATAACTGTCTAATCCACACAACTGGCGAAGCCATGTGAATCGACCACCAATGCACACCTGGTCTACACCACACGGAGTACATCGGCATAAAACGGCCAAGACAGTTACCTATGCACACCCTACACTTGCTGGGGTAACCAGTAAAGACAGCACGCTGCTTTGATAGAAGCAGACACTAGATGCACTGGTACCTTGAAGTGAAATTGGAGTTACTTTACCAACCAGCCTCGGCTACTGAGTACTGTAATTTCACAAATTTTCGGTGTACTTTTATTTTCGGTACTTTCGGTGCATCTGTTTCATACCTAAAATATCAATACACCGAACAAACACTGACACACCTAATCCAATAGGGAACTGCTTCTCTGTACCGAAAATTTCCGTTCACCTAACCTGGCCTTTTGCCCTCACACCGAAAATATTGATCACCTAAAATTTCTGAAATTAGAGTACTGGGAACCCAGAGCCAACAGACATACCAACAACCTCAGCCATGAAAGCTATAGTAACGACACACTGGATTGTGGAGCCGGAACTAGTCCAACTTCCAAATGCTTTGGCAAGAAGGTAGCCTTCCGACAGGTTGGCAATCACACACACACACACACACACACACACACACACACACACACACACACACACACACACACACACACACACACACACACACACACACACACACACACACACACACACACACACACACACACACACACACACACACACACACACACACACACACACACACACACACACACACACACACACACACACACACACACACACACACACACACACACACACACACACACACACACACACACACACACACACACACACACACACACACACACACACACACACACACACACACACACACACACACACACACACACACACACACACACACACACACACACACACACACACACACACACACACACACACACACACACACACACACACACACACACACACACACACACACACACACACACACACACACACACACACACACACACACACACACACACACACACACACACACACACACACACACACACACACACACACACACACACACACACACACACACACACACACACACACACACACACACACACACACACACACACACACACACACACACACACACACACATTAGACACCCATTGCGAACAGCGCTACAGTAGAATGCAAGGCAATTTGTGCAAGATGTTCACCATTCAACGGGTTGTGAGGAAGAAAAGCTGACCTGGTCCATATCACTGTAGCGCACAGTTTTAGATGTAACGGTACAGAACAACAAGGACAATCAAGGCCGGTTTGCTGCTACTTCAAGTGTCATGCTCTCGCAATTATCAGGCAACTTGAGGATGGGGTGCCGACCATGCCGGTATATATGCCAGGAGAGGGTGGGTCTTGCAGCGCTGTATGAAAAGCTGTGTGAGACTGTGGGGGCTCTGTAGGTTTCAGGGCTAGCGGTGTTATTTTAGGCAGGAGGCTGTGAGCAGGGTGTGTGGTTGTTGAAGGCAGGGGGCTAGCAGTGCAATGTTAGTGCAGAATGTGTGGCTGGTGTGGGCAGGAGGTAGTGAGCAAGGTGTGCGGATGTTGTAGGCAGGAGGCTGTAGAGGTAATGTCAGAGCTAGCTGTGTGATATTAGCGCAGTGTACATGTATATGGCTGGTGTGGGCAGGGTGTTATGAGCAAGGTGTGTGAATGGTGTAGGCAGGAGGCTATGGAGACATATTTAGGTGACACTGTGGTATTTGAGGAGATCCTTGTTCGGCCCAGTACGAAGTTCAATGGAGGATAAAAGACCGCGCCCGAGCGTACTCCAACATCACAAAGTGGTGTTCCCTCTGTACCAGAGAAAAGTACCACATCCTGAACACGCTAGGGTCACCATCCAGCCTCAACAAGCGCTCGGAAATGGTGTCTAAGTGCCGACACGAGAACCAGTATCTCCTTAAATACCACGGTGTCACCGTGGACACACAATGATGCAGAGCCTCGACTAATAATAAAGAAAACATTCGAATGCTCCTTTTAGCTTCCAAGCCATCGCGAACCGCCTGAGTACACCACAACGCTCAAGTCTTCCGGATTTATTTGACCTTGACATTCCAAACATTCAATACAGTAAAACCTGTGACTAACGACCACCCCTTTGGGCCAGAGGAAGCGGTCTTTAGTGGCAGGTGGTCCTTAGTTAGAGGTTCGCACCGCACAACCATAATGAAAGTGAGACCGTCCATGCCTGGCTAAGTGGTCTGTAGTACCAGGCTGGTCGCTAGTCACGGTGGTCTTTAGTTTCGGGTTTTACTGTATTTCGTTCTGGTCATCCTCAATACTAAGAAATGAGGGACAGCAGTGACAGCTATGACGTACAATCATAGTGCTGGAGTCTTAATACTAGGGAAAGACAGTGTTGTAAAACTAGCATTGTACAAACCTGAGAGTCATCTCTGAAAGAAACTTTATGGTCTTGCAGAGTGGCGATAGCGCCGGGACTAGCAGCATGAGGTGTGATTACTGCCTTCCCAGGAGACTTAGTACTGGCCTTGTTCAAGCCTACTGTCCGCTGGTAACGCGGTGTTCCTGCAGGAGAATTTCTACGCCATGACTGAGAGCCTGGGGATTTCTGAAAGCCGCCTTGTCCATAAGGAGAGCCGATCATCTTCTTCTTCGAGCTTTTCTTTCCCATCTTCAACCACTACAGGCAGCCTTACAGCTACATCCAAGGTGGTGACGCTCTAGCCTTGACGATACACGATTGGAATAAAAGAAGGACCTTTATTACCTGAGTTTGCGGTAGGAATAGCTATCCTAACAAATAATAATACTGTACTCCTGAAGCACCAGGCATATGCGGGTCGAATCACAAAGTCAAATGGAAACTCGAAGTCGAACAGCACAGTGCAGCCCAGCTCAAGATCATCGGAATTATGTTTCCAGTTTGAATTGACTGTGTTTTGCAAAAGAATGCTTCTTTCACTGTTTTAGCAAAAAAAGATCGAAGTAAAAAAATGACATGACATGACGTAGCTAGAGCAACGAAGTGTTGTTAGGGCGGCCGGGCGCGCGCATACGAGCTAGACAACGATGTACGAACGATAGATCTGTCTGTAACGAAGGAAGGGGGGGCTGGACAGAACTCAGGTTCAGAACAGTTTCTACAGAGTACAGACTGTCAGTCAGTCGTACAGAAGGGACCTGTTGAGTGCTGGCTTCTGCAACCAAACGGCTGGTGGCAGACTGGCAGTGGTGCCCAACCATGCCAACTGACCAGACGGATCTAGTCCTTACCATTACCATAATTACTAGGCAGCAGCATCCCTCAGTAACCAACTCAACCACATTCAACCTCCTCTTGCAGTCTTGGCACATCAGACCATGCCGTCTTGATGGCTGAGTTCTCCTCCTCAAAGTGATTTTTATAAACAGTCTTCCCCCACAGCAGCCAGCACCTGTTATGTCGTAGCCCACCATCTACACATACATGTAGATCCAATGTCTGAAGTGCCAAGGATAACATGTGGAATGCATGAATAGTTATAGACTCTGGTGGAGAGCCAGGGATAAATTCATAAGAAGAAAAGAGGACCAAAGAGCTATAAGTGACGCTCTAAATAGTATAATAACTGGCGATCAGCTCTATAACTAAACTTAGAACCTTCCAAGCTGGAAGTAAAGGCTGTTGGAGTGCGCATCCAAGGCGTGCTAGAGCTGATCGCCAGTTAGGTGTAGAACGTCAGGACCGTTGGTCAGTGTCGTGCAACGTTATCGCATGAGCTGATTGTAAAGTAACTGGTGGTGTTAGTGGATATTATAGGGTAACTAACTCGTAGCTCTTTAGTCCTCTTTCCTTCTTCTCTCATAAATGCCATGAATGTTTTCTCGCAGATGTAAAAAAAATGATGTACCCTGGTACTTGCCTCCCACTGCGTCGACACGGCTGTCTCCGCATTCACTGACATCCTTGAACCTGAGATGCCTTGAACCTATAATCCTATACTCATTGGCTGTCAGTATCGCCCTCCTTCGCAATCCCTACCTGAACTTACCTCATTTTGTGACATGATGACGGATACCCTACGGGCTGTAGACCTCTCATCCGTTGATATATTCCTCACTGGTGACTACAATGCTCACAACTCTAACTGGTGGAGCGGTGACGCTACATCACGCGCTGGAAAGGAACTTTCGCATATATTCTCCAGCTTCGGTCTCTCCCAGCTGGTAGATTTTCCCACTCACACCTCTCCTAACGGAACCCTGTCGTGCCTAGACTTGCTCGCTACCAATCGTCCTCAATCAGTATTCTCTGTCGACGATGCTGCCCCGCTTGGTGCGTCCGACCATTCACAGGTAGTTACCACCCTTTTCTACAGAACTGTAACCCGAACGCCTGCAAAGGAAGTACCATGCTATCCTGCCCGTAGTTCCCCAGCCACTCCATACAATTTTGCGCAAGTGCCACCTTCTGTCTGGGTAGCAGTAAATATGTATCTTTCCTCGCTCAACTGGTATGATCTCATGGACACACCAGATGTCGACGACGCATTAGCCAGATTCTCCTCTTCCTTGAATGATGCATTTTCCCACTACCTGTCGCCTTATCGGAAAATCTCTTCCTCCACCCAGCGAGCTGTATCTAGGAAATATCCTCCGTGGGTTAATCGAGATTTAGTACTTGCCATTAAGTTGAAGTACGAACTCTACAGCCGATATAGGAAGTTCCCAACCCCAGCTAACCAGTCTGCCTTCAAAGTTCAGCGTAACAGAGTACGAAACTTATCTCGATCTCTTCACCGTGACTATTTGGCATAATACAGGCCAGCATGGCGTCAGGTAACCTTAACATGTACCAGTTTGTTCGTTCTCAGCGGAATCGTCAGCAGGATCGTGGCCTTCCTCACCTCATTGATGAAGGCGGTCATCCAGTTTCTGGCAGTTTCGACAAGGCTACAGTCCTCAACCAGCAGTTCGCCTCCGTTGCTGTGCCGGATGATCCGTCGTTATCACTTCCAGCTCTTCGTGCCCACAGCCAACTTCATGAAACATTTGTTCAGGTCATCACCACCACTGCGGATGTTAGAAAGGCTATCGCCCGACTAAAGTCTCGCCGCAGTCCTGGCTTGGACACCATTACGAATGATGTCCTGAAGAAACTTGCCCCGTCGATATCGTACCCCCCCCCCCCGGCCGTATTTTTAATGTGTCCTTTTCGACGGGTGAATTTCCAGCAGCATGGAAACTCGCGAAGGTTGTTCCGGTTTACAAGAGCTAAGGCTCCAAGTCACAAGCCAGCAATTACCGTCCTATCTCCTTGTTGTCCTGTGTATCGAAACTATGTGAGCGATTATTCTTTGATAAGCTTTATGCTCATGTGTCGCCGGCCCTTGCCCCAGTCCAATCTGGTTTTCGACGAGGAGACTCAACCACCATGCAGCTGACACGCCTTGTGCAGGACATTGTGACCCTTCGTCATGACCACCAACATGTTGGTATGTGTTTTTTCGACCTAGCAAAGGCGTTTGACACGGTATCAGTGTCTGCTCTAGGATTGTAGGACAACCGGGTACACGTGTACCTGGCGCAACCATTTCAACCGGGTCGGAGCCGGATACATAATGTACCTGGCGCTGTCTCACCAGCCGAGTCACATGCTTTAACTGGTTGGGTGGTTTATTTTAATTCGGACAATAAACGGGAACTAGGCCCAATGATATAAAGGCGAATGGATAAGCCGCATTTAAAAAAGAGAGGACAGGAATTAGAAAATTGCGAAAGAAGAAGTATCTAACACATACAAGCCATGTAGTCAGTCCTTTCAAAGTTCGAAAGTGTAAAGTACCAACCGGGTCACAGGTGACCCGGTACTATATTTTCAACCGGGTCCAAGCGCCGCCCAACCGGGTGGATTACCCGGCTCACCCGGCGCTGGAGCAGAGACTGGGTATGGTTCCGTGGACTCCTAGCTAAATTATCTGCGATGTACAATGTTTCCGGAGCGTCTCTGGCGTGGATTACGGACTACCTAACAGATAGAACGCAATCAGTGTCAGTCGAAGGGGTACTCTCAGACCCACTGCCTGTGAAGTCGGGAGTCCCCCAGGGATCTATACTAGGGCCTCTACTATTCTTGTTGTATATAAACGATCTACCTGACTGTATAGATGGTTTGTCACTATTTGCTGATGACACAGCCCTCATTCAGTTTGACGCTGACATTGCAAACCTGTGTACGAAGCTTCAGAATGGAATCAATGTTGTTCATAAATGAATGTTGTCATGGCGTCTGAAACCCAATATCTTGAAAACAGAAATAGTCTTTCTCCCTCAACTAGACCACCCTCCCACATTTACCCTTCCCGGACTTGATTCGGCTATTAACATTGATATTGTAGATACGCACAGGTATTTGGGTGTTGTATTTGACTCGCAATTGTCCTGGAATTCTCACGTAGATTTTGTATGCAACAAAGTTAGCAAATCTGTAGGTTGCCTGATGTCTCACTGCTCCCACTTGTCCCCCGAATGTATTCGTCTCTTTTATAAATGCTACCTCCTTCCTATCTTTCTGTACGGCGCCACTGCTTGGCATTCCCTGCTTAGTAAATTTGCTGTACAGACACTAGAAATATATCATAAACGTGTGTTGAAAATTATTTTTCGTAAACCCTCTCTTTTCCCCTCTACTGATCTATATAGTTTGGCCTCCACCAGCCCCATCTCTATCCTGTCGCAGAGACAGTCATGCGTTCTGGTCCATCGTATTAAACTGAACATTGTCCCTGAACATCTCACCAAGTATAATTGGTTTACTTTCGCACGGGACACTCGCAATGGCATAGTACTTCCCAGAGCTTTGTCAACTATGTTTACCAAATCTCCTATCTTCTCTGCATACTCGTATTGGCTCAAGCTGCCCATGGAAATGAAGACAATACCCCGGTATCCAATATTAGACAGTTCATAGACCATGTTAAATGTCATGCCACGTTGTAGGCTCGCTCGCCTCTTTTGCTAGCTTATCTCGCCGCTCTCCACCATGGTCAACATAGTGATACATTTCACACCGCTGATGCATTATTTTCTTCCGATTATCATCTTCTTTCCTTCATTTTTTTCTTCTCTTGCCATGGCTGGCTAACGCCCCCTCCTTTGCATTGGCTTCTGCCATTGGACGGTGAAATAAATAAATAAATAATAATTATTGGAAGATCCTCACCTCCTCATCGGACATCACGCCACAAACCCTGCCCCTGGATGACTGCATCACTGAAATCAGCCATTGAAGTCAAGACAAGAGTGATCTCTACAGCATCTACCGGAAATATCCATCACCAACTTTCAACAAATACAAACACCAACGTAACTGAACAACTAATTGCACTGTAAGCATTTCCTAAATGTCCACTTGTATGACTATGATTGTGTAAGATGATATACGATGATCGCAAGGCACACAACGAAAGGGAAAGAGAGGATTTGTTCAGACTTGCGAACTCGCTGCTGTCTCCGAAACGCTTGTTCACTTATTTTAGACGAAGATACACGCCCGAACAGATAGTTATTCTGAACACTGTGCTATGTAAGCGCTTTCTTCGTTGGAACATTGCATTTAATGTGTCATTGTTTAGAATATGGCGTGTGTCCTAGTGGCATCCACAAGCGAGTTCGCAAGTCTGAACAACTCCTCTCTTTCTCTTACGTAGTGTGCCTTGCGATCATCGTATAACCTTTTACCGACGTATTTCACTACGTAAAATACCTTTCCAGATCCTGCCATCGCTGTTACATCCGCAACCTCCGTGCCACGATATCTCCCACAAACCCTTGCCTCCCACCCCTCCATGTGCTCATTCGTCAACTACGAAACCCTACCAGCGCCCGGGTCATACCTTCGAAGATGTTGGGCCCCAATGGTCGAACAAGCACCTCTCCGTCATCCATTCGTAGCTCAGTTATTGAACCACCACTTCGTCAGTGCTGGCGTACAGGTTGACCCTGATGCTCCTACTCGCACTATTTCCTCCCCACAGTACTTCCACCAGCGACTACACGTCTACAGTACTGTGAAGAAGAGGTTGGTGCGACGTCGGCGATAGTAGGGGACGAGTGTGTTGTTCCCTACATGGGAGCTCGCGGTTTTCCTGCCGACTTGAATTCTCACTTGACTGACTCACGACTGCCATCCAGAGCACACGAGAAGTCCATCGAACCGTCCACTCGGCAAACCTGCAAGAAAGCACCACTCTGCTCAATACACAGTGTTTCGGGGATTTCACCCCTCATCAGTTGAGCTTGAGTAGGCTGAGGAAGATTGTGCCTGAAGAGCACCACTTATAATAGTGCTCTCCAGGCACAACTTCAGACATCACCAGGGATACAAACCTACAGAGACGCTCCGTTTCCAGCGCGACAAACACCTCGTGAACACCAGATAGCAGCGTGAGTCAGTGTCGCTCATGGAGGTGCTGAACAAGCACTGATGTTTGTGCCTGGAGAGCACTATAATGGTGCTCTTCAGGCACATTCACATTCTTCCTCAGCCTACACAAGCTCAACTGATGAGGGGTGAATTCCCCGAAACACTGTGTATTGAGCAGGGAGTGGTGCTTTCTTGCAGGTTTGCCGAGTGGACGGTTTGACGGACTTCTCGTGTGCTCTGGATGGCAGTCGTGAGTCAGTCAAGTGAGAATTCAAAACTACATGTACATGTAGATCTACAAGACTACATTGCACTCCCTGATCATTACCTCATCGACTGTTTACAAGCACTGTTGTTTGTAAGGCTGCCTCTGAACAAATCTCCCGGAGCTGATAGGATCAACAATGAGATCCTCAGGAAAGTAAGGTACTCAATAGACAATAGGGCTTGAAAGTGATGACATCAAAACGGCCAGGGAGTAGTAAGTTGATGTCAGATTTCTATTTTTGGATCCACTAAGGTGTGACTTTGCTATTGCCTAAGTATGTGGGTGCATAGCAACCCACTCATGTCGCATGCAGGTGTGACTTTCATGTCGCCACCAGTTGTAACCCCGCCCCCAGTAGCCAAATCAGTCAATTTCACTGGCTACATCACCATGCTGTGGGTAAGACCGCTTGAAATGTGCTTGGATCCATACAAAAACTGGATCCAAGTGGATCCAGTTTTTGAATTTTTTAAATTGTTGCTATGCTGTGACGTAGCACTTTCAAGCCGTATTGTCCGCCCACTCTCCATTCTTTTTAAAGGGGAAGTTAAGGCAAAAATTAAAATTTCACCAGTTGTAGTCTTCGGGGTGCTGAGTCGAATGGTCTTGGTCCGAGAAAGCTGAGACGCTCCCTTCCTACTTGAATCCCAATCGAACTCGCGCACTTCCACCGAAACTGGGTGACTGCGCCCTACTAGATGGGGATTTGTATGCAAAATGTCACTAAAAGCGCCATTTCGTTCTTATAAAAGCACGGATGACCGCGATTGGCCCATATGTTGTAGTCTTTTGGACGCTGAGTCGACTGGTTTGGGCCGAAAAGGCTGCGATGCAGCGTTCCTCCTTTATTCCCAATCGAACATGGTTGAACAAGCGGTCACGTGTTCCTGGGTGCCCAAATCACCTGGTCACCACGCCAGCAGGCGACAACTTTCACACCAAGGTTCAACTCGAGTGACAGGACTGCACCCAAAAAAGGTCAAACAGGCTAGTAAGTTGTACCCTGCAGGCATGGTGACCAGGTGACTGGCGTACGCAGGAGCACGTGACCGCTTGTTCAACCATGTTCGATTGGGAATAAAGGGGGAACGCTGCATCGCAGCCTTTTCGGACCAAAACCAGTCGACTCAGCGTCCAAAAGACTACAATATATGGGCCAATCGCGGTCATTCGTGCTTTTATAAGAACGAAATGGCGCTTTTAGTGACATTTTGCATACAAATTCCCATCTAGTATTTATTTATTTATTTATTTCACCTTCCCGTGGCCAGAGAATATAGGCCAATATGGAGGGAGGGGGGCGGTAGCCAGCCATGGCAGTAAACAAAAACAAAGCAAAAATAAATAAATATTACACATTACTGGAGGCAAAGAGAAACAAATCTGAAAGAAGAATTAGCAGTTATTAGAACACGAGCTTCATGTTGGCCTTGAAATCCTTTAGCGTACAAGACGATTTTACTGATAGAGGCAGGGCCAGCCAGAGAGAATAGGCAGCAAAAAACGGAGATCTGGTATAAGCTGAGGTTCGGGCTTTAGGTAAAGTGCAGGGATTGCGCGTAGGACGAGTGGGAAGAAACCAGTTATATTTACGCAAGTGTGGCGGGGCTTTGTCAAGACGAATAGAATGAACAACAATACACAGTTTTCGATCCGCTTGACTAGAGATAGGGAAGGTGTTAAACATATCATACAGCTCGGCAGAAGGAAAGTATGATGGTTTGCGGGAAAGGACTTTGAGTATCCTCTTATTGTGGACGTCCAGGGTACTCATTAACGATTTACTAAGTAGGGATGACCAGGCGGTTGAGCAATAGAGAAAATGGGGAGAATATAGCAATGATAAAAAAGGCGAATGCATTCAAGCGGTAGGTGGGAGCAGTGAGACACGAGGTAGCCAACAGCTTTACTGACTTTGCTACAGATATAGTCGACATGTCTACTAAACGATAAGTCTGAGTCAATGACCAAACCAAGATGTTTGTGTTGTTTTACCACTTTGAGGTCTGTGAGGGATCCGGGAAGAGTGAATGCATAGGTTGGCTCTGAGTTCGGCAGGAATAATATCTCAGTCTTGGCGATATTAGGTCACAGGCTTAGTCTCCAGGTAGTCATCCACTGATGGACTTCGTTGATACCGCGCTGGAGACTGTCTCGCAGCCTGTCTAAACACTCATTGAACCGGAGAAGTGCAGTATCGTCAGCAAATAAGGACACACCTTCGTAGTAGTAGGGCGCAGTCACCCAGTTTCGGTGGAAGTGCGCGAGTTCGATTGGGATTCAAGTAGGAAGGGAGCGTCTCAGCTTCCTCGGACCACGACCATTCGACTCAGCACCCCGAAGACTACAACTGGTGAAATTTTATTTTTTGCCTTAACTTCCCCTTTAACCGTTCCCCCTCCTCTGGCACATTCCCGTCACGATGAAAGTCAGCCACTGTCATTCCAGTGTACAAAAATAAAGGCGACAAGAACAAACCGTCTACCAATCTCCCTCCTGTGCTGTGTCTCCAAATTCAAGTGCTAGACTAGAGAGAATAGTGTACGACCGCTTGTATGACCAATTCTCCCCTCTTCTTCACCCCTCACAATCTGGCTTCCGTCGCAAGGACAACACATCCCTGCAATTGTCCCGCATAATTCAAGACCTCTGCTCTCTAAAAGACAAGCGGCAGCCGGCAGTTCTCCTGCATCTGTTTCTTTGACCTCTCCAAGGCCTTTGACACCGTGTGGCACCCAGGCCTCATCGCCAAACTTCGTGCTCAAGGTGTCTCCGGCTCCCTACTTGCCTGGATAACTATGAGACTTGTTTGATTCATTGCTGTGTAATATGTGTATGCCTGGATAACTAGATATTCTCTTCCACCGAAATCAGCACTTCACAGTGAATGGAACTTTATCTGATACCGAGTCTGTGACGACCGGAGTGCCCCAGGGCTCCATTTTAGGTGCCCTGCTCTTCCTCACATACCCGTACCTTAATTATTAATGACCTCCCCTATGCAATTCATAATATAAGTCGACCCCGGTTATAGGTCGACCCCCCGTATCCGGAAGTCTTAATTATGTTTTTAAAGTGTTTGCCCAACGAAGCACTGCTAACCGCTCCCTGCTACTAACACATGAACAAATCACATAAACACTCCTCATTGGATTCTGAAACATCCCAATCCTTGAAAAAGGCAAACAAACTTGGCAAAAATGCATACACATGGTGCACTCGTGTATTCAGAGCAGGTCTTTTTTGGAAGATACCGATAATTCCCGGTTATAAGTCGAATCCCGGTTGTAAGTCTACCCCCACCTTTTCTCCTGCTATTTTCAGTCGTAAAAGGTCGACTTATAACCGGAAAAATACGGTACCTCAAGAAAACCGAGCTCCTCCTCCTCCTTCCCCCCCCCCCCCTCCTTCAGATCCGGTGCCCATCTTACACTTTCCCGACAATCCTTGTCACCTATCTCTGTAGAGCCCCAATCATAAACACCTTGTCATTGTCATAGATCCCGCCCTCTGTTGGTCCTACCATGCTGACCATGTGTCCTCCCGAGTATGCCGATCTGTCGGCATAATGACAAGTCACTTCTCCCATTTGCCCCAAAATCGCCGCATTCTAATTTCAGAAAGTGGTGGACATCATGCAAATCATAATAATAATAATAATAATTATGGCGTTGAAATGGCATGGAATCAACGATTGTATTTTATTCTTCGATTCCATGCCATTTCAACGCCCTCGAGTTCAGCGCCAACCAGGCCGGTGAGCGCGACCGTTTCAGCGCTGTGAACCTAAGCGGTAGTTGCAGTGCCCAACGGTGGGAGTCAGAGCAATACTGTTGTTGACGGAAACATAGAGTTGTACCGGATGTGTATCTCGATTGCAAACATACAGGGAAATACATTGTTACAGAAACAATGCAGTCTGGCATGTGCGAGAGCTGAGGCTGCAGAGCCGCCTGACAGCATTGCCCGCACAAAGCAGAGGAAGAGTGACTAAGCCTAACTTGAGACAATTCAACAAATAATTTCTGGAAGACCCTGAGAAAAAAAGTTGAGAGAAAAGGAAATTCTATGGACATTACGAGAGGGAGTGGGGGTTTCAAAACGAGACGTTATAAAAGTGCACATGTGCCTCGAAAATGGTGAAGGCCTCACGAGAGCACTAGTCTTATACAGGATAGTAGCAGCAGCGGGGGGGGGGGGGGGGGGGGGGGGGGACAGCAATGTGAGTGACTGTGTTGACATGATCCTGTACTATGCTCGCCAGCAAGCCATAGTGGACACCGGCTCATCAGCATTGCGTAATCAATGGTACCATACGTGTTTGCAACGTCAGCTGAAGACTTGTTTAGGGGAAGGATGGCACGAAGTGACTTCTGTACACCGTGTGTTGCTATCAGGAGAGTGGTCCCGGCTGCCACTCACTCACTGGTCGATGTTCTCAGATATCATGATCAGTCTATTGACCATCCACTTGAAAGTGTTTTAAGTGTGATGTAGCTTGGTCACCAGGATATAGCACTACACAACACCAGGCTGTGGCTCAGATGTAACATTGTAACCGGGAAGACTGTGATGCACACAGCTGTAGCTTAGCTCTGTATCTACCACCAGAACCTGTATAAACACGTAGATCAATCTTTCTCTCCACTGCATTCTGGCTCCAGATGGTGTATCAACAACTACCGGATCATTTGGTGTTTCAAGTTGGCCTGCAACATGCTAATCTTTATCACTTGGTAGATCCAATAAACTGTGAACGGTACCATTCGGCTGTTGGATTTTTACAAAAAACTCTCCTCCTCCATGCATAGATCCAGTTCACTATAGTCACCTGCGCTGGTCATGCTAGCCTGACTATGCAGATGGGCATCATATTCAATTTCTTCATGGGATCCGGTATCTGACTTTGACCCAGTGTTAGCAGGCCTTTCACCACGCACCCTAGCAGGTTGTTCTTCCGGAGTCTCCAGTGCATCTTGACTAGTCAGTTCTGGTACAACATGTGCATTGACATCATTGTGTTCAAAGTGGCGGCTGGCAATGACATCATCATTGACATCATTATCTTGGATTGCTTGACTTTCACTAGACTGCTGATGTGCATGATCCTTGCTAGCAAAATTAACTTCAGCTGTGTCTGAATTGTGCCCGTGGTCATGCGAAACCACCAAGTCCTCATTTCCACGGGAGCTGTCAATCGCACTGAGCGGCTTGTCAGCCTTCTGGAGGCGATTGAGTAGTTCTGGATGCGGTGGGGTAGCTGGACTGGGTGCATCCTTGATATCATTGTCTTGAACTGTCTGATCTGAATATCTATGCTGTTGATGTGCGTGCTCCTCGCTAGCAACAGCAGCTGTGTCTGCACGATGGTCACCGCCCTGTGAGACCACTATGTTCTCAGGGCTGAAGGAGCCGTCGATAGCATTGGACTGCTCGTCAGCCGTCTGCTGGAGGCTATCGTTAGACTTCGCAAGCAACGGGGCAGCTGGACTAGGCACCGAGTCCTTTTGAGCAACATTGGCTTGCTGCTCGCTACTCTGGCCGCGTGCAGTTAACACCGTGTCGTCGGGATTGTCACCAGCATCTAAATGTGCCAAATCAGTGTCCGCCAGTACTCCTGATATAGGTACCACATCCGTGGAGTGCTGCGCCGGTGGACCAGTGGCATCCAACTGCCGCAGTGGCACTGATTCGCGTGATCTGTCCAGCAACATGGACGAGTGGCTTGCTATTCGCCTGGCAAGTCGCCGAGATTGGTACCTGCGCCAGGCCACGTGTAGCCATTGGATGAGCTCCCAGGTTTTAATGACGGCATTCTTCACTGCAAGAACTATAGCCAGTAGTAGTCGCAACACAAACAGAATGGGCGCGTAAAAGAAGAATAGAATCGAGCTTGCTCCGCTGATCACCTTTTGACGCCTGCAGTCCAGAGCAAAGCAAGAGAATAAAACATCACCACATGCCTGTCACCAGAAATAGCGTTAGCAACGTGTAACATTACACAAGTGTGTTTCTCCACGATTCAAAGCACCTATCCTGCTTTGAAATCAGAATGTAAAGGTTCTTTCGGAGAGGAGCATGCATGTGCGAGTGTGTGTGTGTGTGGGGGGGGGGGGGGGGGTGCATGCGCTCCTGAAAAATAAAAATAAATCAGTGTGAATATTAGAGTTCACAGCAAGCCGAGCATAGGCTGACGAGTTCATGCAGAATAGTTATAGAAGTCATTAGACACACACACACACACACACACACCAGAATACTTCCATGTACCGCTAGTACAGTGTACTGGACTGATGCATAAGGCGCCGGTCACACATGCAGGCGGCGACACCGCTTTTGCGGCTGCCTCCAACACGCTGGCAGTGGGCGCTTTTGCGGCTCTTTTCTGCCGGCGGTCACACATGCAAAGGCTTTGGTACGCACGCAGCTTCACGGGTCTCCACAGGTGTCGTAAAACTTTTCTCTGAAAAAGACTGTAGCCTCAAAATTCCTTTCCTGCGCTGGTATGGATCGCAGAAACGCCCAGAATCGCCGACTACGTCGTGACCAGCGACTGCGGAGAGCTATGGAGATTGCCTCAATATTCATGTTGTTCAATTTCTCTTCATTTGAATCTTGCGGAAGCTCCTTGAGCATCGGTGGACGCCTGAGTCGAGTCCCATGTCGGATGGTTGACCTCGAAATAGAGGGAGAGGAGCAGTTGCTCTTGGTCAGCAGTCCACTTCATGACGAGAGATGAAAAACTAATTTTTCCAAGATCCAAGAGATCCAACAACGACAACGCCGCAAAAGTTGCACTACCGCTTTTGTGTTTCGCCACCAATTTTTTGGTTGTGGCGCTTTTGAGATTGCCGCCGTGGCGCCAGTGGCGCCAGGCGCAGTATCCATGGTGATCCGGGGATATCCCAACTTTTGTGGTGCAGCTTTGGTGGTGTCGCAAAAGCACCATGCATGTGTGACCGGCGCCTGAGCGGGACCATGCTTACCGTGTAGGGCCCGGCTCTTCTTCCACAGCTGGACTGCCACTCATATCCAAGTGTAGTAATCGATTCAGACGCACAGCCTCGTCTTCCTCATTCTCCACTGCTACATTCTTGTTCAGGCGGAACACGCCAAGCTGAGTGATGGCCGACCGGACCAAGCCTAGGCCTAGCACGATACCCACAGCAATGAGCGGGCCGTATTTGCCACTGAAGAAGGCGATGAAGCGATCGTACAGACGCTCGAAGAAACCCTTCTTCCTCGGAGGCGTGAACGTAGGGCACTTCACCCCACGATCCCAACACTAAGCAATGCACACACCACACATGCACAGGCACAGGCACACACACACACACACACACACACACACACACATACACACACACACACACACACACACACACACACAAAGAGCAATCAAAGGACAGTAACTTGCTCTCTGAGTGGAATGATCCATTCTCTCTGGAGTATGGAACTCTTGGTAATATTTGGGGTTCACTCTGGCAGTTCATACCGGTGATATGGGTTCATAAGTATGCAGGGTTCTAGCCAAAGGGGGGTAGGGGGCGCAGCGCCCCCCCCCCCCCCCCCTACTCCGTTTGCGCGCCCCCTGTGAAAAAGTGCCGCCCCCCTACTCATTTTCCGATTTTTGTGTTTTTTCACGCCATTCAACGATAATACAGTCAATACTCACTACTAGAGGGTTCATAAAGGCACATTTGTGAGGGGTGAAGTCGGGGGTTCACCCTGTATGTTACATTTTGCATGGCCAGACAATTTTGGACAATGGAAAAAATGGGCCATGGGGTAACTTTTTCCCATGCCCGCCCCCCTACTATATTGACCTGGCTAGAACCCTGTATGATATTGAAATACATTGGTGTATGCAATAGGTGTGAGGCAAGAGGAAGAGAAAGGAATTGCTTATACAGAATATGGCTAGTAAGTAGACTCGATGACGGGAAACAAGCTGCTAGGCTAGAGAAGGGGTGCATGCATGAAAGTTGAGCACCAAACATGGCAGGTTTGATTGCCGGTACAGGTCTCACACAAGACTGAGCTGTTGCATACTACATGTACTTACTGTACAACCGCAGACTCCCAAGCAGAAGCACGTGTCCCGTGTTTTGAAAGACACTTTTTTGGAGTCAATGAGTTCATTAATCTGGTTGTATAGCTCAACTGTAAAGCAGCAGCAGCAGCAGCAGCAGCAGCAGCAGCAGCAGCAGCACAGAACACACAAGGAAAGAAGAGCAATGGGAACTCTTGCCACATACCTTCTAGGAAAGTTCATGCAGTGTACTGCTAAGCAGAAATTGAACAGTGTGCAACCGGAGTCGAGGACTTAGTCAGCTACGTCAGGCCATTGGACTGGCTGAGTGGGATGGGCAGGCCATTGGACTGGCTGGGTGGGATGGGCAGAACATGTACACATGAGTGCCGGTTTCTTGTTCTTTACTAAAAACTAACAGTTACCAGTCGGCGTCATCAAACAGTGTATGCAAAGAGGAGGGTGTGTGTGGGGGGGGGGGGGGGGGGGGAGAGGACCATCCAGGTTGGGGATGAGTGCCTGTGTAAGTGGCAACTCTGCCCCTCCTCTTTGATATCAGTGTACAAATGATCTCTGACATGACTGAACTGTGCCAGCACCTTTCATTAAAGTATGACTCGAATATACGTGAGAAACACTATTGCCTGTCATACTACAATGCACTCGGACGCATAATGCTCAGACTTACCCCGACACTGGTAGTCATTTCCGCGAGGGTCGTGTGTGAAGATCATGAATAGCCGTGTTCCAGACTGGCCTGGCTCAAGCGTCAGGCTTTTGGCTGGCACTTCAGCAATACGTAGACCACAGTTTGCAGTAATAATCTGAAGCATAGAATGATACATTTCAAACTAATGCCAATAGTGCAAACCAATGCCACCGGGCCTCGCGGGTCACTGGCGTTTCGGGTCTGAATCGAGAAAGAGATGAGAGTGTGAAATCTCACTCCAGGAGCTGACCTAAAAGATGTACTCGGCACAGTCGCCGTACATTTGTTTGCACGTGGCCTGTCTGTGAAAGCGGCCCGGAAGAGTGTGTTGCAAGAGGGAGGCAAGGACCTGACGGCTGCAGCTGAGCGAGCCCGACTCAACAGTCACAGCAGCAGAAAACTCATCCCATTCTTTGAGCCGATGAGAAAGCATCAGACGAAAAGAGTCAACATAAGGGGAGTCCTTTTCAAGGGGCAAACCCGTGCGATGACCTCGTTCTCATATTCCTCTGCAGGAACAGTATGTGTCTGTTGAAACAGCAGCCACTCGGCACACACCCAGGAACTTCACAAGGAAATGGGGGTTGTGACCACTCATCACTTTGATAAGTTTCACATGATTTTCCAATTAGGGGTCGTCCGTATTTTTCGAAAAATTAAAAAATCCGTCCTCAGGCAGAAAGGGGTAGGGTGGTCAAGAGTGCTGGCGGAATTTAATTTTTTGATTTTTCGTACCTTTTTTTTTTTTTTTTTTTTTTTTTTTTTTTTTTCGTCAGTGACTCATACACTCGTTGCACTGACTCGTAGTGCACTGTACAGTCCATTTCAAAACTATAGACGCGTACCTAGGCAAAAACCGTTATGCCAGCATCTATACCACATAAAATCTGTGATCACTTTGTGCATAATTTTTTCCAAATTGGGCGTCTGTTATCCAATCCTTTAGAAACTATATGAGAGTAATTGTGGAGCGATCCTGAGCAATATTCCGAAAACTTTTCTCAAAAAGTTCCAGCCAAATTTGAAATATTTCAAAAACCCTACGCGTCTATAGTTTTGAAATGCACTGTAGTGTAGGATCGCAAACACCAGTATGATATACCGGTACATGACTTTTTTTGTGGTTGTAGGATGCGCATGGCCTTCGGTAGACCTACTCACTTTACTTAGCTACTAGTACTTGACATACATACGTCATGTACATGTAGGTGCAATCACTGAATCAGTGAACGTGGGGTCAGGAGTTCTTATTTTCGAGCTGGGCATCGGTAAAAATCAAAAAATTAATGGGAAAAAATGGGGGGTGGGTGGGTGGGTCAGAGACAATTTTGCACGAGGACGGATTTTTTAATTTTTCGATAATTACGGACGACCCCTTATGAAAGATTTCTCTTCTCGGCCCGGTAGATTACAGATCTACCTTGCAGTAGTCCCCCCCCCCCCCCCCCCTCCGCCAAAACTTTGGGGTTACACTGTTGGTAAAACTTGAAAACCCCAGAAACAACAGCAATTGTAGTGGTTCTACAAACGATTCGAATCCCACTTCTGACACCATGTAGCGGTTCTACAAACGCACCAAAGACATCTTGCAACCAGCTTCGTTTACAACAAATCCCAAGTGAGTGGGAATACAGAGAACGACAGGGAGATGAAAAGGAAAAGCCAGGCAGGCAGGTACGGCTAAAGTGTGTGCGGTACAGCTGGCATGCCGGACAGCGCGGCCGGATGAATGCATACATGTCACATAAAAGGATACAATGACAAACAGTGGGATGTGCATCCACTACAGCAACTACACGCCAATGCTTGAACTTACCGTGTAGTCTGTGGTGATATCACCAGTGTTGCGAATTACAACAGAAAGGTTTCCATGGCTGGTAAGTGCTTCAAAGTCTGGAATGCTTACTCTCTCGATCACACCGGGACCCCTGCAAGGTAAACGGAAAGTAGAAGAACGAAATAGTGATACATATAATAGTTTGTAATTTACACTGGTGCGGTGAATATTTCCACAATCATACATGCCATGTTTTATTCTAATGAATAATCAAGGACCGAAACAGCTGTCAGAAGGAATAATATTTCAATACTCCGAAGGAACCCTTTGTTGCTACTGTGGGAAGTGTATGCGATCGTCCACAGAGCGCAACGATGGTGGTGGTGGTGGTGGTGGTGGTGGTGGTGGTGGTGGTGGTGGTGGCAGTAAAGTCGACGGAGAAGTACCAATAGTGCGGGGTCCCATTTCGGAAAACACTAAAACAGTCCTATTTTAGAAGTTTCGTGGCAAGTAGGAGCTCACAATTTTTTAGAGCTGTTTTCTGACTAAGTTGTGGCTGCTGAAGACGATAAAAGTATCGGCAAGTCTGTACAGTTGTCCGTTTGTTAGATATGGCGATCTTCCGCTGCATACGGAAATTGTACATGTGTAGTATCCCTGCCTTGCTTGATTGTAGCGTATCCTCGTACGTTAGCGTATGTAGTCTGTTGCCTATAAACACTGCTTGCCATTTCTGTTTTCATGAGAATTTATAACAACGACAAAGCCGAGCAGAAGAGCTGTTCCACCTCCAGGTGTGCACCGGAGAGAAAGTTCTATTTATTCCCGTAGCTATGCAGAAGACGTTACTTCAGTAACGTCTGGCGCTAGCCAGGGTCCACACAGCTTTAATTTGGTGTTTGTTTGTGTGTTTGTTTGTTTGTGTCACGCCTGGCGCTATCCGTATCTGACGGCAAAAAAGCATAGGATGTTATAAATTTTTCAATTCTCCTATTTTTTTTTCAGGCATATCCTGGGATTCGAACCCACACTATCGCCCTACATGCATTCCCCCAGACACTTCGCATTCATACCCATTCTTCCAAGTTGCTTTACGTTATTATCTTGCGTTTGAAAGCCCTATTTGAATATTGCGGGCAGCTGTATGTGGCCAGCTGTGTTTGATGGTACGGTACGGGAGACGGTGTCGTATTACCCTCGATCGTACCTGTCCCGTCCCTATCCCCTAACGTACCGTGCCATCAAAGACGGCTGGCCACAATGCATATTCAAATAGGGCTTTCAAATGCAAGATCACAATGTGAAACAACTTGGAAGAATTAGTATGTATGCGAAGTGTATCGGGGGATGCATGCAGGGCGCGCGATAGTGCGGGTTAGAATCCCAGGTTATGTCTTAAAAAAAAAGGAATTTTTTAAAGAATTTATAACATCCCTATGCTTTTTTTTTGTCTAGGTCATCAAGGCAAAAAAGCATAGCGTAGGGCCCTGAGCTTCCAAGCTCTCTCGTTTGCCGCTTCTTCTTTGACTTTGTATGTGTGAACACTACATCGACCAACATTGCAGACTTATAATATATTCCAGGTGTGTACCTGAGAGAAAGTTGAATTAAAAGCTAACTCGTGTTGATTGCACCGCGCCTCCACTCGGCCACCACTACACATGTACTCAAACCCAGTCATTCTAGAGTACAGTGGGTTTCTGCATACAGAGTCCGTCAAGAAGCCTTTGACGTTTGAAGAAAAGCTTGCTCTACTTTGTAGAGTGTTCTCGACCCAAATCAGGCAGGCAGACACGAATCAGGCAGGCAGACCCGAATCAGGCAGGCAGACCCGAATCAGGCAGGCAGACCCGAATCAGGCAGGCAGACCCGGATCAGGCAGGCAGACCCGAATCAGGCAGGCAGACCCGAATCAGGCAGGCAGACCCGAATCAGGCAGGCAGACCCGAATCAGGCAGGCAGACCTGAATCAGGCAGGCAGACCCGGATCAGGCAGGCAGACCCGGATCAGGCAGGCAGACCCGGATCAGGCAGGCAGACCCGGATCAGGCAGGCAGACCCGAATCAGGCAGGCAGACCCGAATCAGGCAGGCAGACCCGAATCAGGCAGGCAGACCCGAATCAGGCAGGCAAACCCGAAGCGCAACAGGCACGACTGGTCTGAGCAAGTGTGTGGTGTGCCGGGATTATAAACCTGACGCGCAGAACATGCGCTTGGCAGAGAAATTGACTCAGTGCGCCACATACGAGGCAGAGTTTAGTCTGCTCGATGCTGCTCGTACACGCAGCCACGCTAGAATATTGAACGAACTCGAAAATCAGGATGGTATAGCGAATGAGATCAAGTATCACCGTACCTGTTTTTCACTGTACGTAAACAAGAAGTCTGAGACGTCTTGCTAATGATGCAGTGGATTCTGATCTGGCCCGGAATGGCGATGTGAAGGCGCAGGAATTCATGAAATTGTTTGAGTGTGGATTGAAATTAGTGTCCTGACTCAGAGTAACTCCGCACTGACAGATATGACTGAAGTATGTAAACGTTACAGTCGATTCCTGGACGAACTAGGATTGATTGGTCATGTTCAGAGATCCTTCGTGGTGAAGCAACGCCTCATGGAACACTTCGGCGACCGGTTGTAGTTCCATTGGCCTGCATCCCACAGAGAACCAGAACTGATTTACAGCTCGGAAGCATCTGCAGGACCGTTTATTGAGCAGTATAGAAAGTCTAAGGCGGCACACACGAGAGATGTTCAGGACTCACCTTCACTACTATGCAATATTTGCCATTATGCCAGATTACGCTGGCACTTGCAGTGCACTAATTATTTCTTGTTTCTATATGCTTGAGTTGTATCTGTCGCGTATCTTTCTTGGCTCGATATGAGTCCGTTTATAGCTGTAGCCACCCTGTCCACGCCGGCAGGGGGTCGCATGGGTTCATGACCTTTACGTTTCCGGCGTTTGTACATTTCTGTTGTACCAGCGCTGCTGCTAATTTGTCGTAGGTTGCGCATATGGCCCTGCATGTGCCGTACGCGCGGCGCTTTCTTTGCTTTTGTATTTTGCTGTTGCTCCCTGCTTGGGGGAGTTGTCGTGAGAGAGAAACAAAGTGAAATGGAAGAAAGAAGTCGTTTGGAGTTTGTCGTAGAACTACTAGAAATAGCATAAGCGTGATTCCGCCACGCAGTTCATATTCGGAACAAGAGACGTTGAAGACATTTCCTTTCAGTCTGAGATCCATGATCGCAAGCTCATCAAATGAGCCGCAATGTGTGCTTTTAATGCTTTATGAAGCCACCTGCCTCTTAAAAACTGTCACCGGGCAAGTGAAACCGTCCATGCCTCGGCCATCTGACATATCAGATTTATCGGAGGAGCGGTCTGTTAAAACTGTTCCGGATATTCTCTTCAACTTTGTGGCTGCTCTGTGTGGTGCTGTACCTGAGACTGAATGTGATCTTCTTGGAGATAAATTGCACGCATCTTCACCACGCCTTCACCGTCGTGTTCTTGCCATTTGCCAAGACATTATATTTACTGCCTCAGCTGGAAGGGTTTGGTCACCCGAGAGCATTGCCGCTAGTAAGGAGGATTCAGAGGATGAAGCTCGCCGTGATTGTTGCAATGATGATGACGACATCAACACTGAAATCCAAGAGCTGTATTGACCTACTTCATCCTGCCGTCTTGTGGATTGCGAGCAAAATTCTGATGCATGTGTTTACTGTGTCATGAACCGAGTTTTGTTTTGTTTTGCTACATGTGTAGTATCCCTGCATTGCTTGATTGTAGCTGACTACTGTAGTATCCCTGCCTTGCTTGATTGTAGCGTATCCCGTACGTTAGCGTATGTAGTCTGTTTCCTATAAAACTGAGCTGCTGCGCATTTCTGTTTTCATTAATTTTTATTACATAATAATCCAGGTGTGTACCTGAGGAAGTCTGATTGAAAGTTAATTAGTGTTAAGCACCGTGCCTCCACTCGGCTACCTATTACATTGGTGGCAGCGGTGGTTAAAACTTTGTCAGATTCAAACCCCATCTCTAGTGCAGCCTTTCACTTAATTTATTTCTGCGTATCCTCCTACTCTCCTCGACCGATAAGCGGAAAGCAAAGTTAATTGGAAGCACCGTGCCTCTACTCGGCTACCTATTACACATGTAAATGCTTCAAAGCCTGCAAACTGATGAATATGTAAATAATTTGGTTGTGTCAACTACCGGTAAGTTCGACTCCCTTCCGCCAGCGAAAATAGCGAAGGCAAGGGAGTCCAATAGCGAAGGCAAGGGAGTCCAATAGCGAAGGCAAGGGAGTCCAATAGCGAAGGCAAGGGAGTCCAATAGCAAAGGCAAGGGAGTCCAATAGCGAAGGCAAGGGAGTCCAATAGCGAAGGCAAGGGAGTCCAATAGAAAGGCAAGGGAGTCCAATAGCGAAGGCAAGGGAGTCCAATAGCGAAGGCAAGGGAGTCCAATAGCGAAGGCAAGGGAGTCCAATAGCGAAGGCAAGGGAGTCCAATAGCGAAGGCAAGGGAGTCCAATAGCGAAGGCAAGGGAGTCCAATAGCGAAGGCAAGGGAGTCCAATAGCGAAGGCAAGGGAGTCCAATAGCGAAGGCAAGGGAGTCCAATAGCGAAGGCAAGGGAGTCCAATAGCGAAGGCAAGGGAGTCCAATAGCGAAGGCAAGGGAGTCCAATAGCGAAGGCAAGGGAGTCCAATAGCGAAGGCAAGGGAGTCCAATAGCGAAGGCAAGGGAGTCCAATAGCGAAGGCAAGGGAGTCCAATAGCGAAGGCAAGGGAGTCCAATAGCGAAGGCAAGGGAGTCCAATAGCGAAGGCAAGGGAGTCCAATAGCGAAGGCAAGGGAGTCCAATAGCGAAGGTAAGGGAGTCCGACTGTAGTGTTTCCGCCAGTGTGACTCCCAGTGAGTTCGCAGCTCACGTCGAAACTCCGAGTCCTGGTGTTGGTTGTCCGGAGAATGTTAAACTTGTGTTGGGGTTTGAAGTAACATAATTACTACGCCGTCAGTCGAGGATGAAGCCGGCAATGAAGACTACACTTCACGCTTGTTCGGTTTTCTCACACTTGCACCTTTGTGTCATCCTTTCTACATGTACAGGTCACGCACTTTTGTTTTGTTGTTTCAGCCATCTTCTTCTTTGCGCTGTTTTATCACCTTTCTACTGTACTTAATCCACTGTTCTTGCTCCTTTGCTTTTGCCTGTATTTCACCTGACGAGAAGGCTTGAAAGCATACTCGTGAAAACTCTCAAGATGTTGTTGAAGAGCCTGAAGTGTGTCTTTCTTCTTAGTATTACTGTAAAACGGGTAACTATTGCGACGTAAAAATGTTTGCGAATGTTGCGAGAGGCCCCGCATCGCAAACTTTGAACAACGCAAACTCGCGCCATGTAAAGTTCAGTGCAAGGACTGACTCGACTGTGTAGAACGACTGTAGACCGACTCGCAAACATTAAACAGCGCAAACCAGTCTCAATTTGTAAAACGCAAACATTTATTGTCGCAAACGTTACCCGTTTTACAGTATTGCATGCATTCAGTTGTTGTGAGGTCATTGAATGTCGCAGTAGTCTGTCAGTTTTGTACTTAGTTATGCTAAGCAGCGATGAGATGAAAACTACTGTGCCTTACTAGATGGGGATTTGTATGCAAAATGTCACTAAAAGCGCCATTTCGTTCTTATAAAGCACGGATGACAGAGATTGGCCCGTAATACGTTGTAGTCTTTTGGATACCGAGTCGACTGGTTTTGGTCCGAGAAGGCTGCGATGCAGCGTTCGGCCCTTATTCCCAATCGCACATGGTTGAATAGTCGGTCACGTGCTCATGCGTACACCAGTCACCTGGTCACCGTGTCTGCAGGGTACAACTTACAGCCTGTTTGGGCGCGCTCCTGTCACTCGAGTTCAACTTTGGTGTGAAAGTTCAAAGTTATCAAGAGGCCTGAGCTGCAGCTCTCTCACGCCAGGCTTTCCTAAGGATAAACTTGAGACCCGATCATATACCGTATGTGAGTGTTACAGAAGTTAATATAAACTGGTGTGGGCCGTGTATACATAGTACACACATAGTACATACATAGTACACACAGCGCTTCACAAGGTAAACTTACACATTCGAGACAAAGCTAATGCTGTCAGCATCCAACTCCAGCCGAACCAGGCTCTGATGTCGAAGGTCAAACTTGTACGATAGCAAGCGCGACGTAGGTGAGATGGGCCGGTTTTTGTTGGACAGCTGTCCAACTCTGGAGGAGAAGTACAATGGAGGTAACCCCCGTCTTTGCCGCTCTTTGTCCTTCTTCCAGAACGTGCTGGGCTGGTTGTCCAGGCAACTATAGAGATCATAATAGAGCATAGCACAACACATTGATTTGCATTGTGCAAACCGTAGTTAAGTTAACCAACATGCCACAGGCAGAGGGCCATGTCCTCCACCAGGGAGACATCCTAGCCCTAGCGCCCTGCCGCTATGCCAAGTGACTTAGTAGTCGCATCATAATTATGCCAGTACCGCGGCAGGTCACACACATACACACCCAATGCGCCGGGGCTCCGCTATGAACACGCTTGCACGCACCGTACGCCATATATGCCGACAGGCTGAATAATAATGCAGATGCGAAAGAAAATGCTCTTCGCAGGGTAACAAAAAACTACTCGCGAGTTGCCTTTTTGTGCCAGCTTGCTGCAGAAACTGTTTACCCACCCTCCCACCCTCCCACACCAACCTTTAGTACATGTACTTTGAAGTACCGGGTATATGTATCAGGAGGCATGGGTGCTGCTGATGAGCACCGACTGAGAGTGCACGCACATCAGCCCTGGCAGAAAATAGAACCACTTATGTGCGGTGAGTGTTCTGTTTCCATAGCAACACAATAGCATATGCAGCTACTCGACGGCTGTATAGACCAGCGGGTCGCTACTAAATTACTAAAATGCATGCCTGCGATGTCATATGCTAACACAGTACGATGTTGTTGTATGATCTAGTTACGCTGAGTTCTAGGCTGTTGGCTTTAGTTGGCCTAGAGCAACACATGACACTTTTCGTCACACTCGGTTTTACCGATCGCATATTCGAGATCATTGACGTCTCCGTAAACTATGATGCCTGAGACACCCCCAGCGGGTTTCCTTTCCGGTGTGGTGTGAAGGTTAATATACATCATTCGAGGTAAGCAACACAAAGCCGTGCAAATTCTGCCACAAAACCCCGCTGACATTGATTTTACAGTACATCACAAGCATTGTTGCACAGTAGATATTCACCTTCCAAACGGCTTAAAACAGCGACCGGGCTGCTTATAAAATCCTTGATATGATACTCCTATGGAGTCGCAGGTCAAGCCACTCAGGTCCACAAATGTCTTGTCCACAAACATGTGCTCTTTAGGTCCACCCTAGTATACACAGAAACAGATTATAAAAACATTGTGTAAAACAAATAGGCGTCTCAGAAAAAGGAGTTTCTTTGTACACTTTACCTATAAATATTTTGAAGTATGACAATTGATGCCGACATACTACCACTTGTTTGTATCATATACACCATTCAATGCAGGTTCTCTGAAGACCATTGAAGAAAAACGTCTGAGTCTGGGTGTACACATTGTTATTCCATTTTTTCATCATGGTAGTTGGCATAAATTGTTAACGTTGACAGCGCGGGGTTGGCTGCATACAGCGTAATTATGGTTTGGTGCATGACCTCGCTGCAATAAAAGGATCCGTGACACTACAAAAAAAACCCACTTAACTTGTCGTCTTGGAAACGCCATCTCACTCAAGGAAAAGCTGGAAATCTTCAGGAAAACTGAGACACTGAAACACTGTGCATTGAGCAGGGAGTGGTGCTTTTTTGCAGGTTTGCCGAGTGGACGGTTCGATGGAATTCTCGTGTGCTCTGGATGGCAGTCGTGAGTCAGTCAAGTCAGAATTCAAGTCGGCAGGAAAACCGCGAGCTCCCATGCAGGGAGCAACACACAATTCCCCAATAAAAATAATATCTTCACAATGGTTCCTCTTCATTCTCTCATGTCTCATCATTGTCCTTGTGGGCAAATAACGAAGAATAAATTTCCTAGCTCGCACGAGCCCCGGTGAGACTTTTCAGGCCCGCATCCGCAGGAATGCCATCACCCTCAATGATCAAGACGCAGATGCAGCTCCTAAAGCGGTGGGAGGTGAGCAGATCAGACCCATGACAAAAGTGGTCAAAGACCGAAAATCCCAATCGCTGCATCCATGTGACATACCAGACAAAACAGCACAGTTTACACTGAGATTGTATGATCATTGATGGTCTCACTGTACTAGTACTAGTGGAAGAACCTTTGTGATGGTTACCTTTACTTGAAGATGATCCTTGAACTTGTCTTCATAGTGGGGAGCAAGGTATGCTTTGTAGGACAGATCATAGAACGACTGCGGCACTAGCAAGTCGCCGAGAAATTCAGCTAGCACCTACACGCGAGAATAGATCACACAGAGAAGAAGACACTCGACGGATCAGTGTCCACAAGACAATGTGCCTTCACTGTCGTGATGATTTGTATGGATATTTGGCACGCCCGGTGTAAAACAGTAGCCATGAGTCGTCCACGTACTTAGTGATAGCTAGCATGCCGTGACAATGCCGTCCTGCCGGCAGGACCCAAGAAATCACCCCGCGAAAGCGCTTCCTGTTGACAACTTCCCCACAAAAATGGTTGTGATGAGGTCTTTGAAAGTCAAACCAATGGCGCAAGATGCAAGATTATGTCCCGGACATTGCATATGTGCAATGCTACATTAGAGCGCTAGCAACTATGTCAAATGTAAATTTTGGCCATGGCAGATTTGTATTTGTATTTATGGATTCTCCACAGGCCTTAGCCTAAATCGAGGGAGTCTCATGGTGAGGACGTTCAAATATTGTCTTTCTTAGCTTGCCGTGACATTGGAGTGCAAAATTCTATACGCCACTTCCACCGTTGCCAAGGGTTGCTTCCATGGAATTTGATACTATGTCTTGTAGGACCACCTCTGAAATTTGTGGACTCCTTCAACCCTGAGTTTAGAGTCCAGTTTTAGGTTAGGTTCGAACACAAGCCATATAGCATGTCTGTGCGTGGTCTATGCAAGCTATCAGTAGTGATGCACTACATGTACAGTCAGACCTCGCTTATCCAGTTCTCGTTTATCCGGATCCCTCGCCATCCGGAAGCAAATTGTTGACCACGATTTACAGCACATGCAATGCACACATACCGTGTGTGTGTTCGATTATCCGGTTCCCTCGCCTATCCGGATATTTTTGTGGAAAACAGATGTGTGCAGTTAAGCGAGGTCTGACTGTACTTGTATAATTATAAGAATGGAACAGGCAAAACATTGATGATGGGCAACGCATGTGCAGCACGTGAAAGAAAGGAAAAAGTAGGTTGCATGAGAACGGCATCATACTCAACATGTTCAACATTACGCAATACCATTCAGAAGTTGATAGAAGCGTACCCGACCATTTCCAGCCCTGCCGACCGGTGATGATGGCGAGAGCGTGATCTTGGACAAAGGCGCCCAACCACCGCCCTGTGCAGCATCCACTTTCACCTCCACATCCAGCGTGATAGTAAACACGAGAAACGGAGGCCCAACATCAAACACATCGTATCTGTACAGTGAGAGGGGAAGGAAAGGAACAGCACAAGTAAAAATTGGAATCCGAATAGGCTCACACAGACGCAATGCTTATCACTCACTACAATACCATTTCCCTGGATAACTTCTAATTAGGCTGCACTCAACGTACACTTCAAACCGTACACTCCCCCCCCCAAAAAAAAGAATGAACGATGTTCGTTTCAGGAATGACCCCTTACAGAGGCAGATGGTGAGTCTGACACCTTACTTCAGCTGGTCCTCCCCGTCCGGGTCAAAGCAGTGTGCCGCGGCCTGACCCAGTCCAAACACGGCGCACTTGACCAGGTCTCTTGCACGGTCATACTGCTGGTCACCCCTCTGTTCACTCGCAGTGCACTTGCAACAGTAGCCCTGCAGTTGAGACAGAAGTGGAGCAAAGCTTGACAAGTCAGCAGATGCAGATCGTAATGATGTTGCGGGATGTATGGTCGAATTCATGAATCAAGGTATGACAGGCCAGTGGAGGATAAATGGGGATTCCCGGGAAGTATGACCTAAAATCAGAATTTCACCAATCAAAGTCGACGCCATTGCAGTCAGCTCCCAGAAGACTTCCTGTGCCTGCACAAGATTGAACGCATAGTGATTGTTGCGTATACCTGCGTACTTTATCATGACAGGGTTCCTGATTCTGCACGTGCACATATCTGCTTTGCTTTAAACACACACTCGTTTAGGATACAGACGGACCTCGCTTAACCGCACACATCAGTTTTACGTAAAAAATATCCGGATAGGCGAGGAACCGGATAATCGAATACACACACACACACACTGTATGTGGGCATGACATATGCTGTAAATTGGTATTAAACCAACGATTTTCTTCCGGATGGCGAGGGATCCGGATAAAAGAGGACGGGATATTAAAGCGAGGTCTGGCTGTATCAGTGTGAAATCAGTCAGGAACGTGATAGGCTATATTTCTGGTTTCTTCTGCGCTCCTCTCCTCACTCATGATCACTGTGCATGCACAGTGAAAATCGTTCTAATTGGAGGTATACTACTATTCTGTATGTAGTAGTCTCAGACCCGCGCTTCAAAAATCAAAAGGCAAAGAATTTGAATATTTGGACTCAGATGGAGAGCCAAGGATAGATTTATAGAAAGGAAACTGGACCAGGGAACTACACGTTACGCTATATTGTCCATTAACACCACCAGTTACTGAACAATCAGCTTATGCGATAACATTGCAGGAGAGATGAAAAGCCGCTTTACAAGCCATCATCGAACTGCTCTCCAGGCGTTCTGTGTGGTACCTTCGATCCTGCTCTCGTCGTCAATTGCCGAAGCAAACACAGCCATCAACAAGTTGGTTGGGACGTATTCCGTTGACTTCACATCCGCAGCCAGCGTGAAGAGTGAGCTGCATTGCTGGCCCACCAAGTGGTCGAATGTTTGGAATGAACATGGCGAGCCTGCTATTCCTACCTCGGCTGCCCTGTCATTACCTCACGCCAGCCAGATGTTTCCCAACATCCGTGCCATACTGCAGCCGCTCTGCACTTTTCCCGTTACGTCCTGCTCATCCGAGCGTTCATTCAGTGCTCTGAAGAGGATCAAGGATCGCCAGAGGTCAACGATGGGCAATGAGCGCTTGACCGGCCTCGCCCTGCTGCACATTCACCGTGATATCCCGGTGAGCATCGATGCGGTCATAGATGAGTTCGCGCGGCGCCATCCAATGTGGATGCACCTGACAAACATCTTCGCCACCACACCTCAAGCTGCTGCACCAGATTCAGCTTGAACTGTGGGTCCTGACTTGATTTCCAGTCACCAGTCACCTGCATACTATTAATTTTGCTTGCTCTAAATACATCATTAGTATCGGATATCTACTCCCAAACTATCACTTTAATAATAGCATAGTATACAGTACACTAGCTGTCACACAGAAGAGGCCCAAATTTGTATTGAATGTTTTCGCTCTCTTCACATCATGACGATACATAGAGAACAGTTGACAGTGCAATGCAAATGTGTAATTATATAGATTGTTGGAATGGGAAGCTGGAGACATTCATATTACATAAATTCAAGGTGTACACCGCACTAGCATGCATATACAAGATTCCTCAAAAGAACGTTTATGGAAGAAATTATGGGCACCCCCCCCCCCCCCCCCCTAAACCATGATCCTGGCTACGCCCCTGTTGTGCCGTGTGGTCGTTCGTTCCTGACACATGAGAGAATCAAAGGGTTCATAACAGTTGGTGACCACGCCAGGATACGAAGCGAGCATGGCACAGGAACTATGTAATTTGGAAGCCAAATTTATCGCCAACGGAATTCGGTGTGGATTGGAAGGCGATAGTTGATGGAATACGTGGAGCAGAGGCTCCGACAGTGCGAGGAGCGTAGTGCCAGACGGTAAGAGGATGCGCTCCGCACCGAGGTTAACGAAAAGCTCAAGGAGATGAACGAGCGCATCGCCAGGGCGTATGCGGGTGATGGTGACGCAGCCAGGGTGAGGTCGAAGGGACGTACAGTGGAAGCTCCCTGTCACAACGGTGGGCATAGGCATTTGATGAAAGTCCCCACATACGATGGAAAGCAGCCACTGGAGTGTTATCTCGACCTGTTTGAAGAAAACGAATGGCTGCTGCGATTGGGTATTGCTCTATCGGGTAGCACGGCGGAAAGGACCTGCATTGGCTGCAATACATATGAGGAAGCAAAGCGAGAGTTGCTTGCCTCGCTCGGAAAGACGCCGGACAAAGCGTGGAAGACTTTGCTGACAGACAAGCAGCGGTCAGAAGAGTCTTTCTACCAATGCGTTGTGCGTGTTTGCAGAGAAGTGGAGGTGTGGGCCATGCTCATTACGACTGAGAATAGTGAGGTAGGCACCTTCAAGTATAGCGTGGTTGTAAGTAAGATGGTGCCTGTGTAGCGCTGGTCACGCTACAAGCTCAGCATTTGCGTATACGCTCAGCGTACTGAGACCCTTGTATTTTTGCCTCCGAGAGACTGCGGCCCGCAACAAATTGGTGGCAGCGGTAAATTCTTTTTGTTTCATTCTATACATAACTTTGTTACTTTACACGTTCTCCGATCCGATGGCTCAACCGAATGTACCTGCTGTGGTACCCGTCGCTGCGCCCGCTGCAGCCCCAGCTCCGCCCGCTCCTGCCCAACCACCGAGAGGGGCGTACCATGTGCAGCCCGAAAAATACAAAGGTCGCCTGCAGGACAACTTCGCGTCCTGGCTGATGCATTTCGACCAGGTCGCCGCGGTAAACAACTGGAACAACGTTCAAGAGACGCAGTTCCTGGGCCTCGCACTGGAAGGCGAGGCCCAGCTGTATTACCAATCACTCCCAGCGGCCACTAGGAACGGAGGCCGCCAACAGCTAGTCCAGGCGCTGCAAGCTCGGTTTGATCCAGCGCAGCGCGTTGACCTCCATCGCGCAACGTTTCAAGCTCGTCGCCAGGCAAAAGACGAACAACTGGGTACTTTCTGTGAGGCGGTTCGCTCCCTGGCCCGGCAAGCTTACCCCCAGATGGTCGCGGGGGACCTCGACAGCCTGACAAAAGGCCAGTTTATCTCCGGGCTTGACTCACGGGGCATGCGGGTCCGCGTTCGGGAGCTAAACCCGCAAACGACAGACGGGCCCTCCAGGCCGCGCTCCATCACCAGGCAATCCTAGCTGCCGAACTGCCCGCCGCGGAACCTGTGCCGATCCCTGCCTTTGCTGTTTCCCAGCCACTCGACACGGTGACAGACCAACTGAAAGCTGTGTTAGACCGTCTGGCTACGTTGGAGGCCAGTCTGCCAGGACCAATTCGTCGGTCCCGACCTGACCAACTACCACAGGCCCCGCAGACGCAAGGCCGCACACCTGTCACTTGCTGGTCATGTGGCCGACAGGGTCACATCAGCCGATAATGCCTGTCCATGCCGCTTCGCTCTCCGCTACTCCCGTTTTATGCACGCTTCCCGCTGCTGTGACCGTCCCTCCCTGAGACTGCTGTGACCGTCCCTCCCTGAGACTGCTGTGACCGTCCCTCCCTGAGACTGCTGTGACCGTCCCTCCCTGAGACTGCTGTGACCGTCCCTCCCTGAGACTGCTGTGACCGTCCCTCCCTGAGACTGCTGTGACCGTCCCTCCCTGAGACTGCTGTGACCGTCCCTCCCTGAGACTGCTGTGACCGTCCCTCCCTGAGACTGCTGTGACCGTCCCTCCCTGAGACTGCTGTGACCGTCCCTCCCTGAGACTGCTGTGACCGTCCCTCCCTGAGACTGCTGTGACCGTCCCTCCCTGAGACTGCTGTGACCGTCCCTCCCTGAGACTGCTGTGACCGTCCCTCCCTGAGACTGCGGCCCGCTACACTGTTTGTGATTATTTTCCATAAATTGCGTTTATTTTATCTTTCACAATGAGTTCAGAGTTTTACTGCTAGAGGCAGTTTTGCCGTTCTAGAGAGAGAGAGAGAGAGAATTGTTAATAAAGTTAGTTTCGAGTTGTTAGGTTGTTTTGCCTCCAGGCCCGCTACACCTGTATTGCAAGCAATGGCCAAGCAGGTGATCTTGGAGCAATGTGGATCTGATCTGAAGATGTACCCGATAGAGCGGCATTGCCACGGGATATCTGCGTCAGTTTCAGGAGCACGGCAAGTCTTACCAAGTAGCGAATCCTTTTCTTCCACAACAGCCCCTCTGTAAGCTCATGGATTGATTTCTTGGCCAGCATGTCATGTACAATGGCAGTTATTCTTAGTCTAACACAGATTTGGCTTGACGTGCAATGATTCACTAGTTGAGGGAAAGAGACAAACGGGAAAAGTCTGAAGAAAAAATTGACTGTCACCACCAGAAATCGAACCAGGGACCTTCGCCTGAGGCCAGCGATGCTCTAACCACTGAGCTATGGTGTAGCTGTCGTCCCAGAAGAGACCGTTCAACATTTTCTTCAGACTTCGAAACTCACAATTGCTTCTACGTTGGCCTTCAATGGGTCTAGTTTTTAAAAGAGCGTCCCTTTGTCCGCCGATTTATCCTAGGTGTAAGAAGTTTACCTAAATCTGTGCCAAAGTACCCAGTCACCAGGCTTTTTGGATGCAAATGATTTGCTTTTGCATTTCCAGGGCTGTTAGGTCAATAGCCAGGGCTGTTAGGTCAATAGCCAGGGCTGTTAGGTCAATAGCCAGGGCTGTTAGGTCAATAGCCAGGGCTGTTAGGTCAATAGCCAGGGCTGTTAGGTCAATAGCCAGGGCTTAAAGTCTATGCTACTTTTAAGAGTTATGATATGAATACTGAATAGAATAATATGCGTACTCATTACTCCCACACACAAGGGAAGGTAAGTCTCAAGGTTTCCAAGATTGTTTTCTTTCGCTAGGTTAGCTACTATTACGGCTTGCATATCGTTGCAACGCATGCATTCCATTACACACATTGGTGTCAATGTTCAGTTTCTAGACTCAGCTACATATTGGTTTGTGTTTCATGACCTCAAGGTTGCTCGGCAACGTCCGTATGTTGTCATTTCTCTACTTGCAGTATCTGATCATCTGATCCTTTGGGCACTGCATTTTTGTTGCGAGATTGCATAGTACATGTCAGGACCGCCGGAAGCAGTTTTTGATAGGTCCGGTAGTTTCATTGCCTTTCATACAGTTTGTGTATGATATGGCGGGTACACATGACCTCCGTAGTAGCAAACATGACTGTGTTGATGGCTAAAATGTTATTCTGGTGAAAACCTGACCAACCGGACCGGTTCCGGTGGCCCTGCATGTAGCTATACGGAAACTATGCGTTCTAGCAATCAGCTGCTTATAAGCTGTTGCACCCCATCAGCCGGTTTCTGTGGATACAGTGGCAAGATCGGTGTGTTCCGTCATAAATGATGCCAGTATCGATACCGGTGAGTTTGGTTCCCACAGTATCCTTGGACCATCTGCTTTTTATAATGGTGCCAAAGACATGTTGGCACCATCAGATGCAGGACTGGTGATTGGTCATCATTGTCTTCCTTTCATAAACATTATCATAGGAGGTCCTCACAGCTTCCATCAGCTGTTGCTGCTTCTCAGTGACACTTTTGCATGGTTTGGCTTCGGTATCAAGTGTAATTTGATTATTTGTTGTTTCTCTAAATCAAACAAGCATTTTGGAGACAGCAGTTTTAATATAGCCACAAGGATGACTAATTGCACTGTAAGCATTTCCTAAATGTCGGCATGTATGATCAAAGTCCTTTTTGCCTAAAGATCTTTGTGATGGATTGGCGTACGCATTTTGTCCTGCGAAGAGCTTTCAAGTAGCAGTGGTGAGGCTTCCTGCAGCTTCATTCATAGGAAGAGGTTTCTTGAACAAACTCGCTCTTTCCCATTTCCATTGAATGGGAAAGAGCGAGTCTGCTCAAGAAACCTCTTCCTATGAGCTTTGAGGAAAAAATTGGAGACGTATCCAATTTCGGAAGAAGTATCAGCACCGACGCAATCCACACAGTCAAGTAAGGCCAATATAGTAACCAAACGTTTCCATTCCATTCTCATCATGGGCAAGTACAGGGAATAATGGAAAAAATGTCAAAATACAGCAACTTACAGAGCTAAAGCAAAAGCATAGATCGAGAACCTCACGCTATAAGTGTGGAATCAAAATAAAATTCAGCTGAACAGGTCAAAAACAGGGTGAAGGTGAAGAGATGACTAAAACATAATGAAAACTTCCAAACGTATAGTGTGAGGTTCTCGAGCTATGCTTTTGCTTCAGCTCTATAAAAAGTTGCTGTATTTTGACATTTCCATTATTCTCTGTACTTACCCATGATGAGTACTTACCCATGATGAGAAGGGACTTACCCATGATGAGAAGGGAACGGAAACGTTTGCTTACTATATTGGCTTTACTTGACTGTATGAGCTTTTAAGTCTCCAATTAGAGCGATTATCGCTGTGCATGTCGTGCAATGTGTTTGTTTGTTTGTTCGTTTGTTTGTGTGTGTGTGTGTGTGTGTGTGCCAATGAAGTTTGTGAGGGCATACTACGTTGCTCTTACCTGGCTGTACATGATGCGCTGACGCCGGCCGTTGTGATTCGTGAAGCGGAAACCACACGCCACCCTGTTCTCATCCTCCCAGTAGCCGTCCAGGCAGGGGCTATTAACGATGAAGCCAATTTTCTGGTGGTCTCTTCGGACGACCTGCTCAGACGGAGCATTCCAGGCTGACTGCGCACAGTACATAAGAACAGGAGTAGCTGAAAATATAACCACACACTTCATACAACATTAGAGAGGTTCCGGTGTACGATTTTCCGTGCCAAAATCCGTATGGGCGCTACGGATTTTTTCCAGGCGTGCTCCATACGATTTTTCGGCACGGAGAATCCGTGTGGACTGGCTTTCATACGAACCATGTTTCGTATGGAGATTTTGCGTCATCGGGTGCAGAAAGATTTTTCGCGTACAAATTTGGTACGAGAAACATCGATTTTCCGCGGGAAGTTTTGATTTCGGTACAAATTTTCAAAATAAAAAGGCATAGCGCGGGAATGTGACGTGTTTGCGATCGTAACCTAGGCAATGACGGCAAACACATAAGTTCCGTACTCCGGAACATTTCACTGCTCGAAAACGACGTATAAAAAATCCGTAGCGCCTCTACGGATTTTGGCACGAAAAAAATCGTACTCCGGAACCTCCCTAATAATAGGGAGGTTTCGCTCTACGGAATTACGTATCAAAATAACGTAGGAACTGCACGGAATTTTCATACGTAAAAATCAGAGCTGTTGGGTTTCGCACTACGTGATTTCTCCACGACTGCAAAACATGCGTTGTTGCTTTGGAGACGCGTTGACTGCATGCGCCCACCTCATGCACTACGAACAGAAACCGTGTTTTCCATTTTTATTTTGCACGTGGTGTACGGTGTGTGTACCTTGTGTTTCGCGCGGCTTGAACGTTGCCATGGACAAATCCGGAAAATGCGAAAAATATTTCAAAAAGTCCTACGGAGGACGCAACGTAGGAAACAGCTTTCCTACGGAAATCCGTAGAGAGATTTACGTAGGAAAGTTGCCCTCGCTCCCCGGCGCTTACGACATACGGATTTTCATACGTTATTACGTAGAGCGAAACCTCCCTAATATAGGTGTGGCCTTGTACAGTACAGGCCAACAGCATCACGTACTGTACCATATTCAGCTTGCCTCGATCATAAATTATTTTACGCTCGCTCTGCTCAGACTACCGATAAAAAGAGACGGAATGGGAAAGTTTCCAAGATGATTTGATCACGTGACGTTACTGGCACGCTACCGGCGGAAAAGTTTTACTGCCGCGGCTGCTGCGGCAGTAGAACTTTTCCGGCAGTAAAAAGAGGGCTCAGGCTGGGAAAAGGGAAAATCCCTTCTCAGTGCCGCGGTGAGAGCTGCAAAACTTACGTACCGGTAACCAGGGAGTAGTATATATGACTCCCTGCCGGTAACGTTAGTTTATCGGTAGTGTGAATGTCCTTCACGGTTTATCCCCATTCGCGTTTTGACGGGATTCACGGTAGTCTTAACGCGCCCTAACTGGGTAACTTAGGCAACAAGTAAGCTACGCAGGGAACAACGTTACGTCTACTTCAACTTCATGTACACACCTGCCTGGTGTCCTAGACACTGCATACATCATAGGATGTCGCAATGTGCTTTAGATGAATTACCACAACATCCCGGGCATTGCCTCCAGATTAGGCACCGGCGGATTATGCTCGAAAAGGTGGCAGATTCCGCTCAAAAAGCAGTGAAATTGGCAGAACCATACAAACCTCATGGCAGGCAATTCCTCGAATTCTGCTCCATTTCTTTATCCACATACCAAACATGCATGAAACTTACCAGAAAAAGTACCGAATTCTGCCAATTTTTCTGCCGGCATTATCCGCCGGTGCCTGCTCCAGATATAGAAGTGTATGCATGAACTGCACCACTATGCGGCCTCGGTACCTGTACACACTGACAATGACTATTTCACACTTGCCACGTGATCGTTGCCACGGTTTGACCCAATCAGAGCGGTCACAGGCTGGGCATGAACCTCTGATCATGCCCTGCCAGCCACGTCTACTACCATGCACCGCGCTGTACACCCCATCACGTGATCATTCATGCCCTCCTACCATGTGTGAATATACTCATTCACACATGGTAGGGCATGAATGAATGAATTCACACATGGGTATATTCACACATGGGTATATTCACACATGGTATATTCGACATACATGCCGTGCCATTCAGGCCTTTGACCAATCAGCACGTCCCGAGAGCGTGTGGAGGTGAAACTGAGTCAGTCTGAGTACGACGGGATGAAGGTATAAAAGGAAGGTACTCCTAGGGGTGGTGGTCGGGGACGTGGAGGACTTAGCTTGTGAGCTTCAGCTCCGTACTCTTTCTCGTCGACGGTCGAGGGCTGCTCGAGGGCCTGAATCAACAAAGCCCGAGAGAGTACGGACCTGAAACTTCACCTTCCTTGAGATGACCTGAATCAACAAAAGATGAAATTCACCTTGGTGAGATGACCTGAATCAACAAAAGATGAAACTTCACCTTGGTTGACATGAAACTTCAGAACTGAGAGCCGAGAGCGCACGGAGCTGGAACTTCAGGACCTAAAACCTTGTGAGCTGAAACTTCAGAACGAAATTTCAGCCGTACCGTGCGTGCGGTCGAGGGCTTGCCCGAGAGCGCACGGAGGCTTCAGAACGAAACTTCAGCCGTGCGCTCGACGGCTTGCCCGAGAGCGCACGGACGTGGAACTTCAGCTTGTGAGTTTCTGCCATTGTTGTGCAACGAATGCCATAAAGGACTTGAGAACTTGGGAAGGCAGGCACTCGGTGTTTCTAGTTGATGTATTTCAAGTTCGATTTATGTAGATTAGTGCAGTACAGTGGCTTTGTTTGCGCTGCTAGCATGCTGCGGGTGCGCTTGCACGTGCACGTTCTCCTGAGGAGAGCGTTGTGGCTTTCGCTTGTGCTGTCCTGCGTGGGTGGCAGTGTGAAATACAATCAGACATGGATGTCAGGGCAGGTATCGTTGATTCCGGCCCTCGAGCGGCCCGCGGCCTTCGGCCTTGGGCCGCTCTCGGGCCTGAATCAACGATACTGCCCTGACATCCATGTCTGATTCTATACGTCATAGTCATTGTCAGTGTGTATGAATCACGGAATACTGTACTGGAGACTCCTGCACACTGCCATGCGGTACAATTCCTTCTTACCCCCTGGTAGAAGATGTTGTAGCGCACCTCCACCTCGCTCTTGCGCAGAATGATGCGAAGCGGCTGCTTGAGAGTCTCTTTTCGTGTGCCATTGATAACCTCCTTTACCTCGGCTCGAACTGTCTCAGTACCGTTCTGAAGTAGGACACACAAAATAATCACAACAAGTGTAGTGATAACGCAAGCGCTATTGGCAGTATTGCGGTTGCGTGTCGGGCTTGAAGAATGCCAGCATTTTTACCGAAGGCGAAGGTCACATGTGGTACTCGTACATAATTATACAAACGTACAACATCCAAAGAACATCACGGTTCGCTCACCTGACCTCCCCGAAGGGCAAGAGCAAGAATAATTTTAGTGTTGCATGTTCTCAGGCTATCGGTAGGCTGTGCTTGTCCCGTCGGATCAGACGAATAGTCCACTGTTCCGTCCTGTGAGCAAATTACCAGCCGACTCTCAGCTAGAACCGTGCCAGAGGTTCGTCCTAGCAAGCAGAACAACGGTAACAAGACCAATAGATAAACTTGACGAAAAGAAATTGCTCGGCCAAATACTACACAGCAGCAGCTCATGCCGGTTCACCAGATGTGCTGCTGCTGCAGCCTGCACTGCTGCCTGTGAAGTATTCGGCTGTGCGTTCACACTTGTTCCTCCTCGTTGCCTTTCCAATTCCCTGCTCTATCATTATTCATGCAAACCTTCAATAGAATTCTGCAAGGATCCCGTGTGAAAATTTGAAAATTCGGTGCGTTCCCCGTACCGTATACGGTAACGTACCCACTAGCTGTACACACTAGGGATGTGTACGCGAGGGCGTGCAGCAGCTAGCAAGCCAGGGCAACAGCGGCGGCGTACCATCCCGTACACACTTTCTTCTTTGTTGTACGGTTTCCATGGTTTCTGTCAATCCGACGTTGAGCAGCCTGTTCCGACCTGCAATCGAACGCATCATCGAATCAAGAGTACGAGTACATAAACCACCGAATGCATCATCATCCATCGTGATCGAACGCATCGTGTTCTCTGGGTTGCGCGAATTGCGGGTGACCTGCCAGCAAAACTAATACTGAAGTAATAGCAAGAGTTCATAACCCCGGGGGTTATGAACTCTTGGTAATACTCAGTAATACCGGTACGTCTTGGCACCAAAAAATTCTTCCACATGTACCTGTCACTTCTAAAAAACGTACCTGTCACTTCTCTCATTTCTTCTTCTTCTTCTGTAGCTGTACTGTGTGTTGCATGCTCCCTACATGGGAGCTCGTGGTTTTCATGGTTTTCCTGCTGTCAGACTTGAATTATTCTCACTTGACTGAAGTCGTCTGCAAAGGATTTTGCGCCGGCAATGTTTCTAGTTTGATTGGTGGGTAAGCTTGGAGCACATTCAGCTCCTTGCCGAGCCCACTGACTCACGACTGCTATGCAGAGCACACAAGAAGTCCATCAACCTTCCACTCTGCAAATCTGCAAGAAAGTTCACTCCCTGCTCAATACACAGTGTTTCGGGGAATTCACCCCTCATCAGTTGAGCTTGAGTAGGCTGAGCGGAAGGAAGATGTGTCTGAAGAGCACCAGTTATACCGGTACTAGTTATAGTGCTCTCCAGATCAAACAATCACCAGGGATGCAACTTACAGAGGCGCTCCGTTTCCAGCGCGACAAACACCTCGTGAGTCGTAAACACCAGATAGCCGAGCGTGAGTCAGTGTCGTTCGTGGAGGTGCTGAACAAACACTGAGGACCGTTGACCATTCACAACGTTGTTGCCTCCAAACCATCCAATTCGCACGCCCGTGCTGGCGACAACAGCGTGAAGAAGAGGTTGGTGCGACTTCGGCGATACCTGGGGAATTGCGTTTTGTTCCCTACATGGGAGCTCGCGCTTTTCATGCCGACTTGAATTCTTTTTTTGGTGCGTTTTATATCCCCATGACGGCGAGACCTCAGCTGATTGATTGATTTTATTTTACTTCGCAAGTTCAAACGGGTTCCTGGCCCAGTTATATGAAAGCGAAGGATCGAATTTGCCAAAATCCTAATGAGCAACAGCATAGGCAATATTATCATAGAAGTGGAGTACTATGCGAGCGAGAATACTGAGAAGAAAGGAACATGTCAAACCCTGACGAAACACAACCTATTTCAGGCATACATAAGGAAGGCAACTAGGTTGCACTCCACCATGGGTCTGCGCCAACCGCCAGTTTCCACCAGGTTCGGCAAGGGTTGCCTCGCGTTCCGGGGCGCCCAGCTGTGGAACACATTACCCAGCGATATACGTGCCATCTCCACGCTCCGCCAGTTCCGCGCCAGCATGATCCCGCACACACTTACTGGCCTTAGCACCTAGAGTACCAAACGTCCTGTTGGATGATCAGCTGGCTTAGTTTTTCTCCACCTCTATCCTAATTACATCAGTCCCCAATTTCATTTATTCCTGCTTTCTATCTGCATTCGCCACCTTTTCATTGGGCAGATCTGCCCGTTTGGTTTGCGAATTAAAATAAACACAACAACAACAACAACAACAACAACAAGGCAGGCTAGCTTAAAATCTTGCAATCTGGATACGGTGCGCACCTCTCTAGGCAAACTGTTCCACAGCAATGCTCCTGCGGTGGCGAATCTCGTTTGGCCACACCGACTGCGAGCTGGCTGGCTGAGCAGACCATTGGCATGCTGATGGCGCGTACTTCTGCCGCTGCATGCTGCTGGTTTGAGAAGCTGGGCTAGAGCAAGGCTAGTGGAGTCATTTAGACAACGCCAGATGAAGATCAGGAGCTTTTGTTTAAAAAGTTCAGTGACGCGGTAAATCGAGCTGGCAGCCAGGAGGGGCTGCATCGTGGAACATGGCGGGCTGCCATCAATGCATCGGATCGCCCGGTTTTGCATGGCTTGCAGACGCTGAAGTTGGGTCACGCGGAGGGCTGCAGAGAAGCAGCAGGCACCATATATCATATCCGGCATGACAATAGCCTTTACATATATCTTGCGCGAGCTGCGGGAGAGGCATCGACGGGCTCGCCACAAGGCGCCTATCTTCCTCGCAACTTTGGTCACTATGGCGCTGACGTGTACATCTGTTGCATGAGTCCTTTAGCCCCGTACACATTCCCGTACGCACGCACTCCCCTACACACGTTCATGCACTCCCTACACACGTTTATGCACTCCCTACACATTCATGCACCCCTTTTCCCGCTCACCCTATTGCCACCTACTGCATGCACCCCTTTTCCCGCTCACCCTATTGCCACTTACTGCATGCACCCCTTTTCCCGCTCACCCTATTGCCACTTACTGCATGCACCCCTTTTCCCGCTCACCCTATTGCCACTTACTGCATGCACCCCTTTTCCCGCTCACCCTATTGCCACTTACTGCATGCACCCCTTTTTACCTCAACAACTTTAGATATAACCAGAAGGCTGCGCTTGCGCAGTGTTGATTCTCCGAGTAGTTCTCCTAGTGGGTTCTCCTAGTCGTTCTCCCAGTTGTTCTTACAGTTGGTAGTCCTCCGAGTTGTCTTCTCCTCATAATTGCCCCCGAGTCCTCTACTTTAGTCCTCTTTGTGTTCAGTGAATATAACTGTTATCATAACCTACATTCCGTGCTGCCGTGTAAAGAGTGTGATAAAGTAGAGTAGTAACGTAGAGTACAGTACCCATATATAGACGGCATACATTTGATAACACATCCCAACTCAGGCGGTTGTCAAGAAAGACACCAAGATACCGCGCAGACTTCACTATCGGTAGAGAGGTATCGCAGCACACGATAGAGACCTCAGGCCCGGCATGTTGCGGTGAGATAGTCATTACCTGGCTTTTGGAGGCATTTAAAATTAGGCCGCGTGACTTAAGCCATATGGCGAGATCAGTGACAGCTGAAGAGACGGATTTGGAGACTTCCTCAGCGGAAGTTTTTGAATCATACAGGGCAATGTCGTCTGCGAATTGCACGCTGGGTATTGGCGATGAGACCGATTTCACATCACGGGTGTAGACGTTAAAGAGAACAGGCCCCAAGACGGAGCCTTGGGGCACACCACAGGTGCAGTCAAGAGCACGACTTGTGGCCGAAGCGACTGTAACTTGCTGCCTGCGATCTGTCAGGTAATTCGCGAACCACTTCATGGCGACACCAGAGATACCAACGTCAAAAAGGTCTTGGATGAGGATACTATGCCGGACTTTGTCAAAAGCCTTGGACATGTCGAGGAGGCACAGCCCTGTTACCAGACCACTGTCCTTCGCCTTCTGCAAGCTGTCCGTGAGAACACAGAGGGCATCCTCAGTTGAGCACTTCTTCCTGAAAGCAAACTGAGAATCAGGTAGGGCATTACTCAAGTCTAGATGGCGAACTAGCTGACGCTGCACCACTCTCTCCACCAGCTTTGAGACAACTGGAAGGAGGGAAACAGGGCGATAATTGGTGGGGACTGATGGGTCCCCGGTCTTGTAAAGCGGTACAACGGTCGCCAGCTTGAACGCCAAAGGAACCGTGCCAGTGCGGAGGGAAGTGCGACTGCTCGGCTGAGGGCAAAAAGCCTCACCATCACTTTGCTCCCATATGCATTTTTGTCTTCGTCTGTGCGCTGAGATAGCTGTGTAAAAACCAAAAACCTCCAAAAACAAGGTGTGGAGTAGAGGAGAGTAGTGAGACTCAGTTGGAAATGAAGCAATCATGTTGGTCCTGGGCAATGCACATCGTAGCTACTGTAGAACATCTCGATTGCCTGTTCAAAACGGCACTCTTTCCTGTTGACTAGGCTGGTACATGGTCTCCTCATTCTCTTGCCCGCTGCTGACAAGAGTCAAGAGGCTTCGAAAGCCTCTCCCATTCACTCAGTCTCGCCTGTCACCATGGTCACACGGTCACCTCGTCGTTCTCCGGGTCCTGCCCGCTGCCGGTCAAGCACGACACCTCAGTGAAGACTCGGGTGACTGCCCCTGCCTGGCAAACTGCGGCCGGAGACCTCGCCCTAGTACTTTTAGTAGTATCGCAGTAGTAGTATCGCAGTAGTAGTAGAGCTAGACTAGAGCCTAGTAGTACAGTAGTAGAGGCTCAGCAGCAGCTGAAGCTCTTACTTTACTATTGTCTGGTGTAGTTCTGGTGCCTCGCAGCTTAGTTTCTCGACCGAAACAACGGGCCGGCCGAGTCTTGGCCGAGTCTTGGCCGAGTCTTGGCCGAGTCTTGGCCGAGTCTTGGCCGAGTCTTGGCCGAGTCTTGGCCGAGTCTTGGCCGAGTCTTGGCCGAGTCTTGGCCGAGTCTTGGCCGAGTCTTGGCCGAGTCTTGGCCGAGTCTTGGCCGAGTCTTGGCCGAGTCTTGGCCGAGTCTTGGCCGAGTCTTGGCCGAGTCTTGGCCGAGTCTTGGCCGAGTCTTGGCCGAGTCTTGGCCGAGTCTTGGCCGAGTCTTGGCCGAGTCTTGGCCGAGTCTTGGCCGAGTCTTGGCCGAGTCTTGGCCGAGTCTTGGCCGAGTCTTGGCCGAGTCTTGGCCGAGTCTTGGCCGAGTCTTGGCCGAGTCTTGGCCGAGTCTTGGCCGAGTCTTGGCCGAGTCTTGGCCGAGTCTT